ATTCCCGTCAACTTACGTCGATATATCATATACACGTAATTTCACGACAATCGGAAAATCTCACCGCTCGTCTCTATATATAATAAATATACTTTTTATACATAATTTTATATTTTTCTTTACACTTCGAAACATCTCTATATTCGGATAGTATCTAATCACCGATAAACAATCAAACTCCGCAAACAAAAATATCTACTTTCGAAGCGTATTTCCTTCTGCAAGAATCGTCGACCCGATTCGCGTAAGTTGAAGCAAAAATTTACGAGTTTCGTCTAATTTTATTTCCGATACTCTATATCGCCTTTCATTTTCGATACTTTTCGATAATCACTACGAATTTGATGAGCATCTTTCGTGAACACTACCGTACTACACGAATATACATATTAATATTTAACACGCGACTTTTCGTTCCAAGCTTCTTTCGTGGACCACGAACGTAACGATTTATTTTGATTTTATCGACTTTGTTCGTCGATTATTCGGTAAGCTGTAATAGGATTGTTAGAATAACAATTGTGATGAAAGAAATGGTCCTTTTTCTCGATGTCAATGTACTGTACGAAAAAAGAAAATGTAATTTTGGATTAAAGAGTGTGCTTGAAAAGGTACACGTTTAATTAATTTTCGCGATGCAAAAGAATCGTGTCAGACTTCGATATTTGTATTTAATATTGATATTTCTTCTTATGGTAAAAATTTATATACCTATAGACTACTTATAGAGTATATTATATTTGTGAAATCTGTCTCTGAGAAAAACAAGATCGATAAATCGTTACGCCTGAGACCCGAAGTGATGGGACCAATTCTATCGATACGTATCAATTCCTAAATCTTAAACCATTCTATTTCATCATACTCTAGAATCGTTCTTCCATTACAATTACTGATGTCAAATTTCTTACCTTTTCCTTAATATTTGAAAGATTGTCGAGCGTTATAGTTGCTTCTTTTATTTCTGACGAGTCGCGTAATTAAAAAGACATCGAATATATATCGATTGACCAGTAATTTTCGAATCGTTTCGTAATCCTTAAAATAATTTGATAGAAAATTATCAATTTCTAAGGTAAACGTATCGATGGTATCAGCTCGGTCCCATCACTAGTGACCCGTTTCAGATTTTTTTTAAATTGTTCAAGGAGATTCATCGCTTCCAGCATCTGTATTGTACATCCCTTTCTCGCGTTTCTCGCGATTCGATAACCGATTCCAGGCGCACTGAATTTCACACAGTGTCCATGGAAAGGAGCAATTCAAGAAACAACGTGACAGAACGAAGTTAAAGCGAAGCTACGAAAATACAATCCTCCGTGAGTATATTGTCAGGAAAAGAGGCCGTACAGTATAGAACAGTACAGTTTACGCGCACGAGAAACCGATGATAGTCAAAATGGCGTTCGTCGCCAGATCTGGGCTCGAAATAACCTTATTCTCTAACATACGATTGCATTTTATTTCTAAAAAATAATTGGAACTTTGAAATTTGTGAACCTTTAAAAATATTGACTGGACCGTCATTTAAATCTCGTTTGAATCGAGAACCTAACGAATATTAGTCCAAATAATATCGTATCGAACAGAAAATCGAAGTATCGATTCGTTATTTCGAATTTTAATTTCAATTTGCCCAACGCTTCGATAAAGACGATTCGAGCTTCGACGAAGAATTCGTCTCTTAAGTTCGTAGCTTCCTCGAAGCGTCAACGATCTCGTCGCAGTTACGTTTATTTTACAAGTTTTATAGTAAGTGTTCCCAGGTTCTCGTCGACGAGAATACGTGAACGTAAAATCGAAAAGGGTTCGAGTATTTGCCGATTTACAACGAGAGTCAATCGTGAAACGAAACATTATTGTTTATTTATTGTTTGCACGCGTGCACGCGTACGTTGTTGATTGTCTCTACCCATGGTCGGCAATATAATCCAGCGATACTTCGTTAAAAGATCCGTGGAGCGTTAATTCTCGAAACGTAACTCTCTGAAGTTCAGCGATGATTTTTCGGAGCCCGGTAATCTCGATTCGTCGCCTTCTTTGGTCGTTTGAAAGTTCTAAGGTAAACGGTACAGAGCTGTGAAGAACATTTCTCGTCAAACTTTTTCAAAACACACGAAAGATTTCATTAATATTTTCCTCGCTATCAGAATGGTAAACAAAATTACCCGTTGTAAATGAATCTTCGTTATAAAACATTTAATAAACGAATAAATTTAATTTTAATTAAACATAAATCGAAATTTACGATTCGAAGCAAACTCGTCTTTCTTTAATCGAAAACTTAAGAATCTTAAAACTTAATAATTTAAAAATTACCCATTGCAAATGAATCTTCGTTATAAAACATTTAATAAACGAATAAATTTAATTTTAATTAAACATAAATCGAAATTTACGATTCGAAGCAAACTCGTCTTTCTTTTATCGAAAACTTAATAATCTTTAAACTTAATAACTTAAAAATCACCTATTGTAAATGAATCTTCGTTATAAAACAGTTAATAAACAGGTTAATAAACGAAGAAATTTAATTTTAATTCAACATAAATCGAGATTTACTTTTCGAAGCAAACTTGTCTTTCTTTTATCGAAAACTTAATAATTTAAAAATTACCCATTGTAAATGAATCTTCGTTATAAAACATTTAATAAACAATTTAATAAAAGAAGAAATTTAATTTTAATTAAACAGAAATCGAAATTTACGATTCGAAGCAAGCTCGTCTTTCTTTTATCAAAAACTTAATAATCTTAAAACTTACTAATTTAAAAATTACCCATTGTAAATGAATCTTCGTTATAAAACATTTAATAAACAGATTAATAAACGAAGAAATGTAACTTTAATTAAACATAAATCAATACTTACGATTCAAGCTCGTTCTTCATTCATCGAAAACTTAATAATTTTCAATTTTGCACATTTAGTTCGTGTTTTTTGGATGTGATATTCGACGAGAAAGATTTTTCAAGCGCAGATAACGATGAACGTTCAGCGGCTTCGCTATACGAAAATGAAAAATTCTGTGCTGTACCTTCGGAGCCTATATTGCCATTATAGTTCCACACTCCTACGACGTTATTTACAACGCTATCTTACGCTAGATTCTATCACCGATATTTATTAATATTTATCAGTTGCGTCACAGTAGAGTTAGTCGAGTGAGAGGCACCATAGAATTTTTTTTATATCGTACGTTTGTACGTGCTCGAGCGCGTTTTACAAGAGTATTTTTCGTTCCTCGACCAGGCAGAATTTGAAGGAGAACACTATCTACACTGAACCGAGCGCACACCGGCGCCAGGAAATCGAATCTGTCGTTGCAAGAAACCAAGCTCGACGGGAAAGAATTTATAACGGTTATCCGGTTGACTAGGATCTCATCCTTTATCCGTCAACGTTCATCTTTGACAGCTCGATGCGGAAACGTAATCTCTCGGAACGATCGAACGAACGTTCCAAATAAACAGTTTTCATTTTTCGATCATCGAAATAAAATTCTGCCCAAGTTTGGTGCGTCTGCTTGGAAGGAATGTGCGCGTTTCATTTAATATGGTTTCAAACGACACGGAATGTACAAGGAGTGCGCTATAGCTTGCCTGTTAGGTTAAAAAAATACTCTTAAAATTCGCTTCGCTTAAGAAAAACTTTCTCCTACCCTCGCTATAAGTATATATTTACAGAGTTACGTTGCGTTAGACTCTAATAATAATAATATAGTTTAGACAATAGATATTTTCAGTGCAATATTTCGCCCGACATTAAACGTTACCTTAATTAACAAGAGACTGGTCCTTCTCGCGCGGAGATCCCTCGATCGTCTAGTCGAGATCAGAACGTTTCGTGACGCATGCCTTACGAAGAAAGACGTTCGTGCATTTCGAAAATTCACGTGCGTTCAATTCTTCAAACGGAAAATACTTCAAACGCTCCGGTTCTTTAACCATTCGAGCGTGAAACGTTCCATTTCCAAACTTTTAAACGAACAGTTTCATAAATTATGCGGCACTCGACCTGCCAAGAACGCGATTAGAGTCGAAACGAGTCTCTTTTTCTGGGAACTAAATTTTTTCTCGACTTCTTCAATCGTCTATGTTATTTTTTCTTATCGAACATTCCCCAAAGAATTATTGAAAAATACATAGGCTTATTTATCCTGTTTAATTTGTGGTATAATTGGAGCACCGAACAGCGTTTCTCCGCGCTCGAATGGTCAACGAAGAACGAAAAGTAGAAAAGGAAAGTTCTCCTTGCTCTACGACACACTCACACACACGCGTACACACGCACTCGCACACAGAATCGCTTAGAATTAGCACGACGAAATTCTGACGTGAGCTTACGCATATATCTTACGGTGTCGATAATATTACGGTTCTTTACGTGCCGTAACCGATAGCCTACGTAGAAAATATAAATGTATTTATATGCAGAATAAATCCGATATTCTCTTCTATTTCCCTCCTTTGTGTTTGCAATATGTACATCACCAATGGATTCTCCGTTTACTTCTGTATAGCTGCCGGTTCAAACGTGCGATTCTTTACAATTCTGATCGTTACTAAATGATACGCGTACAGTGGCAGTGTTCGTCGTACTTGGTCAGATGTCTACAGCGCGTTGAGTCGAGGAAAGCTTCTATCAACGTGTCTGAAAAGGCTCGACGCGAACGCTTGTAAGAGAATTATCGGTTTCATCGAACCGATACTTTAAAAGTGTTTCGAAGATTAGAAGTAACCTTTAAAACGGTGTAGAAATTCCAAAATTCCGAACAAACGTTCACGAATGGTTAAAGGTTTAGGCAAAATTCGTAAAAGTAGCAATTTTCCTTCGAAATTAAACAAAAATTCTTTTAAAACGTGTCGAGGAGATTTTTGTACACCCGGCATCAGTGGTTCCTGACGTTTAAGGGAAATATAATGCTTTTTGCTTTTACTGCGAAGTCACTATAACATTCAATATAATGTCTAACCTGAGACGTTATGAATTTTAAAATAAAAACCAACGTCTACTGTAAGATGCTCAATTTGTACTTTCCTTCTTCACAGATACATTTTGCTATTCTCTGTTCTGCAAATAAGGTATTCGATTAAAGAACGGTCGATTCTTGTCCAAATCAAATGGTGGAAACGATGCTAGGTATACAGATTACCAGAAACATTGATCGTGCTTCAACCAGCTGTAGAGACTTGACCGTGTATTTAACGAACACCCTGTACAGCCCAAGAGTTAACCCTTCAGCGTGGGGTGTTTGGTACTATTGACGCCGCGAGAAGTTGTCGAGTGAAAGGAATGCGAGTCTGATTGGTGCGAAACGACGACGCGGGTGGGGATGGGCGGAGCAATTCAAGCATTCCCCCGCCCCCTGTGGTCAACTTCTCGCGAACGCACAGTAGATGCTCAGCGACGACGATCTCGAAGCGCGCAAACTTCAAAGAATTGACTTTCAAAGGACAAACGACGCAGAATCGAAGGTTCGATTCGAACAAAATATTCGATTCGTTCCTTTTTCCTCCACGTTTGAAAGGTTAACTGCCACTCGTATCGAAGACCGATAAATTCGGCGAGGTTCTGTCGCGGCGCGCGAATGAGAACGAGCGTCCGCAGCGAAGAGGGGGAGATGCGACCGTAAAAAACCGGGGAGAACCGTACGAGGATATTTTTTTTTATTTAAGCATACTTTTGTTTTCTTTTCTTTTTACTTTTTTTTGTTTTTCTCTTTGCTCGGCAAGTTCCGCGTTTGTGCTAGAAATTGAAAAAATCGATCAAAGTACGAGTATAGGTAAGTAAGAGTAACTCGACACCGCTTTTGTACAACGCGCGACCCATCGATTACACACGCTCGATCTTAAAGTCCGTGATTATTAATTAAGGCTTAATAATTGATCGTTATTACCAGCAAAGACTAGAAGTTACGTTACGGTAAGCCTATTTAGAGATATATCGTCTAGGAAGTTATTATTTTTTTTTTTCTTCATTACTTGCTTATTGTTCCTCTCTATTACTCCTAGTTGGCCCGATTGATGTTCCCAATACGTTTGCATCCGTTCTTTCATCGTTACACGGAGACAGCCTCGATTAGTTCTCGTTACGAAACTACCAAAAAACCCCCTAACGTTTTCTACGTAAACCGCGTACGTTTTCAGCGAATCCCTCGATTCGCCTTTGAGATCCAGGATCGACGATCAAGCGTCGTCGAGTCGCTGGGATGCCGGGGAATACGTTTTACTTTTCACAAAACTCGATGCTGCCGCTTCGCGTGCGTCGCCTCCTATTTTCGTCCCAAGAGAAAAATCGTTCCTGTGCGTTTAGCGTGATCGTTTTGCGAATGGTTCCTCGAGGACCACCGATCCTACGGCTGCGGAAGTATCCAAACGACGATGCATTCTCCCGTGGACTCGAAACAACCTTCGACCTTTGCTCGAATCGCTGTAGAATTCTCTTAGAGAACCTTTGACCTCCGAACTTCCTCCGACGAGGTAAACAATGTCAAAGGAAACGCCGTAGCCAACAGAGAATGTTTTATTATCACCTTTCTCGTTGAATGATTCTATCCGTGGACTCGCTATTTCAATTTTTATTCACTTACTTTGCCCCTAAACTTTCTTCGACGGTTCAATTACGTTTAGGAATTTTAAATTTTGATTGTTGAGAACTTTCATGGGATCCAGTTTCGTTTATCTATGAAATCTCGAATTTCATTTTATAATCTTCTTAACGAGGTAGTCAAGAGAGAATTTTTTATCGTCACCTTTTTTGCATACACTTTGACTTTAAGCCTTCTTCGACGCTTGATTTATGTTTAGGAATTTCAAATTTCGGTTTTTGAGAATTTTTATGCGATCCAGTTTATTTTATTTATGAGCTGATAAAGCCTCGAATTTCACGTTATAATCTTCTGGGGTGGAAAAGTTATATCAATGGCGCTTCAGGGTGCTGAACAATTAATGTATCTTCTCATAGAATTTTCATTTCTGTTAAGAATTCAACGTCTCCGCGGGCATCGTTAATCTCCCAACGTTAGCCCAGATCCTAATGAAATTATATGCAAGCTCGAAAGTTCCTTCGTTTTAATCTATATATTAAAATCGCCGTTATTAATATCAAAACAGACGTAGGTTATACTCGTTAGCAATTTCCGTATCTGGATCGAGATAAATTAATCGGCACGTCGTTCAATTTCTTTGCGTGTCGTTTTCCCGAATCCATGCATTCAGTTTTCAAAATCAAACGAAACAATTCCACCGAATGGATCGAATCGAGTCCCTCTCAGCGCGTTTCCTTTCATTTTCCTGTACTTGCGTCATCATTACACAATTTTAATCAACCCCGGCCGACGATCAATACCGGCGGATATTGGGAAATTGAAATATGATCATATAAAACTCGAACTATCCAATCTTTCTAATTCCCTTCCGTTTCCACGTTCGTCGATTCTTCGTCTCATCCCCTGTTCCCATATTCTTGCACAACCGTCGAAACGAATTAAATAATTTAAACTAATCGCCAAATCGATATGTCGGCTATTCTCGTATCCTCGATCCTTCGTTTTCTTCCTTTCTGTTTTGCTTCCGGTACTTCATTTATCCATATCCGTCCGGTCTTCTAAATTTACGTATCCAGGTTGCAGTTTTAGCTTCCAAGCTGAATTTAAACCCACCGAATTACTCAATTCTCTTTCGTATTCGTTCAGCTCGTATTCTTCTATTTTCAGATTTCGGATTTCTTTATTCTTTCTTCGGAATCTTTCCCCCTTTAAACCCAACTTCACTCTGCGATCTTACTTTACATTGCCATTGGTTCTATTGTTAGTTTTCAATGCTAAGTTCATCTTTATCTTGCTTCGAAGGGAATCGTTTTGAGTCATCTTTCCACCTTTAAAACCAATCGTACACTCTGATTTTACTTTACACCTTCATCGATCCTATTATCAATCGTCAACCATTCTCGGTTTTATTATCAATTTTGAACACTTCGTTCATCTTTATCTTGCTTAGAAGGGAATCGTTTTGAGTCATCTTTCCACCTTTAAAACCAATCGTACACTCTGATTTTACTTTACACCCTCATGGATTTTATCATCAATTTTCAAAGCTTCGTTCATCTTTATCTTGCTTCTAAGAGAATCATGTTGTCATTCAAATTTTCTTTGAATCATCCTTCCAACTTTAAAATCAATGGTACACTCTGATTGGTTCTATTATCAATTTTCAACGCTATGTTCATCTTTATTTTGCTTCGAAGGGAATCGTTTTGAGTCATCTTTCCACCTTTAAAACCAATCGTACACTCTGATTTTACTTTACACCTTCATCGATCCTATTATCAATCGTCAACCATTCTCGGTTTTATTATCAATTTTGAACACTTCGTTCATCTTTATCTTGCTTAGAAGGGAATCGTTTTGAGTCATCTTTCCACCTTTAAAACCAATCGTACATTCTGATTTTACTTTACACCCTCATGGATTTTATCATCAATTTTCAATGCTTCGTCCATCTTTATCTTGCTTCGAAGAGAATCATCTGATCGTCCAAGTTTCCTTTGAATCATCCTTCCAACTTTAAAATCAATGGTACACTCTGATTGGTTCTATTATCAATTTTCAACGCTATGTTCATCTTTATTTTGCTTCGAAGGGAATCGTTTTGAGTCATCTTTCCACCTTTAAAATCAATCGTACACTCTGATTTTACTTTACACCCACATCGATTTTATCATCAATTTTCAATGCTTCGTCCATCTTTATCTTGCTTCGAAGAGAATCGTCTGATCGTCCAAGTTTCCTTTGAGTCAACTTTCCACCTTTAAACCCAATCATAGCCAGTCTCAGATGTTAATTCACACCCCCATCGATTTTATCATCAATTTTCAACGCTTCGTCCATCTTTATCTTGCTTCGAAGAGAATCGTCTGATCATCCAAGTTTCCTTTGAGCCATTTTTCCAACTTTAAACCCAATCATAGCCAATCTCTGATTTTAATTCACACTCCCATCAATTATATTATCAATTTTGAACACTTAGTTCATCTCTGTCTTGCTTCGAAGGGAATTCTCCGGTCGTCCAAGTTTCCTTTGAGTCCTCTTTTCACCTTTAACCCCAATCATAGCCAATCTCTGATTTTAATTCACACCCCCATCGATCCTATCATCAATTTTCAACGCCTCGTTTGTCTCTGTCTTGCTTCGAAGGGCATCGTTTGGTCGTCCAAGTTTCCTTTGAGTCATCTTTTCACCTCGCATCGTAATTTCGTCTCTCGAATGGAGCATTCTGGTTTCGTGTCTGCCCGAGAAGACCGACTCGTAACTGTCAGCCGCTTTTGCTGAGCATGTTCGGAGCGATGCTGGTTATGGTGACGCGGGGTAAAGTCCACGGGATTGCCGATGATCGCGAAACAGATGGCACTAGCTCGCCGGGGGCTTCTTGTTACACGTCGTCCTCTATACTCCTCAGGGGTATTTGTTGCTTTTGTGCTACCGCGTTCAGCACGTAGACCAGCTGGTCCAATTTCTTGTCCATCACGGACAACTGCGGACAGAAATTTCTATGTAAGAATCAGTCTTCCCACCGCCCCTTTGACCAAAAACTGTTTATATCCCGAGCAGAAACAATTTTTCTGGGATCGAACGAAATGGTTAATAAATTACAATCGCTGGTCGGGAGGGACGGAGCATTTTTACCCCCTCAGATCGTTTAACGTATTAATCACCCTTCGTCTCTGGACCCAACAACGATAATTTATTAGGCGGATGCTCGCGTATGGGCAAATTTTATTCGCGAGGAACGTATAAAATTTTTAGAATTTCGAAACATTTGTTAATCGATTCTAATTTACGGATGCTATTTAAAAATAAAACGTATAAATATTTACGAACGTAATTGTTATACATTGATCGAGAATAAAATTTGCTTCGACGCTTTTGTGAGTTCATTAGATTCGTACCAGGCGGTTTCACTTGATTTTTAGAAATTTATTCAAATGTAAACAGAGCAATTGGAAATTTTGTACAAGGGAAGAGGAGAGATTTCTGTCGATAAGTGGGATACGTCGAAATATATTTTTCGAGATTGAGAAAACAACTTAAAATAATGTAAGTTTGATGTAATTTTAATTTCCTGTTTTCTCGAAATAAATTTTTGTAAAGAAAAAGGGAAAACTTCGGTCGATACATGGGATGCATCGAAATGTATTTTTTGAAATTTGGAATGATGTAAATTTGATTTTAGAATTGATATAATTTCAATTTCCTGTTTCCCCGAATAGGAATAGAAACTATGTTTAGAAAAGTACAGTTTTGGAACGAAAGAATTAATAGCTTAATTTTACTTTATTTTTGGATGTTTTCGAAATGGTAGGTAAAAATAGAACTGTACAGGGTTCTATAAAATTGCGAATTATATCGGTAGTAACACCCGTCCATTTGCAATCCTCGAGGGAAGGAGGATACGATGGAGGATTTACGCGAATTTCGTCCAGAAAAATGAGAAACACACCTGGGCAGAATACTTAGAACTAATCCTCTTGATCGAACCAATTTCGTCAAGCACTAGGGTATTCGATCAATCGATGTCAGTATTCGGATATAAAGATAATATTATCAAGGTTAATACAGATTGCCAATTTTAAGATAGTAATATAGAGCAACAGAGAAATAATAGCAAATAACGTTTCATTACTAAAATATTTATCGTAATGAAATGGCTGAAATGTTAAATGCACTGCGACCACTGCAGCCTGTGGCACACTTCAACAAAATAGAGCGGTCACTAGCAATTGACATCCAAACATCGCATATCAATTTCGGTTTTCGCATCGAATTCGTCTACATAGCGACTGTATATACAGGATCTCTCAATCTAAACGATCCAAAATGATTTCTAACCAAAAACGTTCCAAACGAAAGAGTATCGATTATTTAAAAATTATAAAATTTACATTAAATTCCATCGTGTTATGATACGAATTACCGTACGTTTATTTTTAATAAAGATTATACAACAGATGTCATAAATTAATTTGTTTTATTTAAAAGTGAAAACAATTTCTTGAAGAAGTCTACGAAACTGGTAAAAAATTACTTTGTGGTATTTAATCCATCACACTGAACTGGAACATTTTTTTTTTATATTAGAAATAAAAAAAGCTGGATCGTCTGAAAAAGTGACTTGGGCGATTTTTACGAGGCAACACGTAATCATGAAGTTATTTTCTACTATTTCTCTGTCGATTATCAATCGTTTTTAATTTCATCGTATGGAAGAATGTATTTTGAACCGTTCGATTGTCGTTATACGGACCAATGGCGACATCACGTACTCGAGTACCGTGTCCAAACCTCTGCTTCGAAGTCGGATAGATATAGATAGATTTATTGGCCAGGGACGATATTCCTTAAGGGTATGGAATAATATCACAATAGTAACAGTGACAACGCAAACTTAATAGAGTTACGTAAAGCAAAGTAGTAGTAATAAATAGTTAAAGTAAAACTAATGTAAATTATAATACTAATAACAATATTAAAGGTGAAGATAAAGAGTCGACGATTAAATAAATGGGCTCGTTTTAATTTCAAATTCGAAACGAATCGATAACGGTAATAAATAGTAAGAATAAAGCTAATGTAAATAATAATACTAATAACAATATTAACCACTTGACGTACGATTTAATTTTGTTTAAATTTGTTCGCACTAGGAATGGCCACGAAAAAGAAAATTTTTAATATATAAGAATTGATGACGAGTGAGTAGCCTCATAATTGTGAAACTTAACATCAAGAAATTGTAACGAGTCAGACTCGTTATTGTACGTTAAGGGGTTAAAGGTGAATATAAAGGGTCGACGGTGTTTTTAAAAATTAAATAAATGAAAATTCGTTTTAATTTCAAATTCGAAACGAATCGATAACGGTAATAAATAGTAAAAGTAAATCTAATGTAAATAATAATATTAATAACAATATTAAAGATGAAGATAGAGAGATGACGGTGTTTTAAACGATTAAATAAATGAATTCGTTTTCATTTCAAATATATAAATAATAAAAGTAAAACTAATGTGAATAACAATATTAAGGGTAAAGATAAAGGGTTGACGGTGCTTTTAAAAATTAAATAAATGAACAAATTTTAATTTCAAATTCGAAACGAATCGATAACGTCAATAAATAGTAAAAGTAAATCTAATGTAAATAATAATATTAACAATAATATTAAAGATGAAGATAGAGAGATGACGGTGCTTTTAACGATTAAATAAATGAACTCGTTTTAATTTTAATTCGAAACGAATCGATAACGGTAAGTGTGCAAGGAATATTGTTGTTAAATTAAATAAATGGCGAACGAAACGTGGAGGGACTCACCTGCTGCTCGACCCTGTATAAGCGTGCGCCTATCGTCATCGGCTTCACGTTGCCTGCCCGGTCGATTCCTGCCAAATAGCTGCCTGGTTTGCCCAGGGTCTGATCCAATCTCCTCTGTAACTCCTGTGAAAAGGTACGGGTTAGATGCGCGGCATACAGATAACGTTGAAAATCAACGATACTATCTAGTATGCTTCATATTCCAATTGTGCAAGTATTTGGAAAAACCGAGCTCTGCTCGGTTCAAGCAACTTGAGCATTCCTTTATCACGAACAAGGGCATCTCTATTTACTCGAAACTAACATGATCCATGTTTTACACATTTATATGAAATTAAAAAATCGAACTCTTCCAATTTTTTGCACACATTCACGAGCATCGATCATTATTCGTTAGAGCTAAAAATATATTGTTGTAAAGTTTTTTGATTTCTCTGTAAGAAATATACTTTTCCAATCCTAAATTTTGTTAGTTTATTTCGTTTCGAGAAAAGTATCAGAAGCACTGATTTTACCTTTGAATCACACACATTTGATGGTAGTATGAATTCAAGGGTTTGTAAAACTTTAACACGATACGTGTTAAATTATTTAAGTCTGTGTTCGATGGTAGCATAATTCCATCTTCGATCGTGCAATTATGAAATAAGAATCGTTGATACAGTTCGGTTTGAATTTCATCATCTTGACCAATCCACCGAAAATCAATAGCTTGAAATGTTCACTACGCCCTTGGGAGTCTCTTTTTTAATTAAAAGGAAATATACCGACCTTCAATTTTGGTTTTATTAAATTTAGGGTTGTGTCCACCGGTGCTTCAAATATTGATTTCGCTTCGGATATTTATCGGAACAAGGAAACGTTTTACCACTTTTCGTACAGAACGTAATCACTTACGTACGAACTGTGTCTTTTCATTCTCATTCACCGTCGTCGTGAAATAATTCATTAAATTAATTAATTTTAATAAACACACTAAACTTTGGTAAATTTTACGATCAGGATATCCATATCTCGTTTTTACCGAGAGAGATAAAAATAGTAAACCAGCTCGTTAAATTTAACAACAAATTTTCGATAATTACAAAAAATGTATCAGATTCAATTCGAATCGTATTCTCTTTTAAAATATAAAATACTTAATATATAATTTTTCCTTTCCAATCCTAAGTAATTACAATTTTAATAAATATTTTATTTGGATCGTGGAAAATGGAGAAATTCTGCTAAAAAGAATAATTGATTTCGAACGAATATCGTCTGGCGTTGGTCTTTTATTTCACACGAATAACGCGTATAATTTTATTCGAACGTGTATCTAAAATTTGTGAAATAACAATCTACTTTGGTTCCTGCGTACGCAACGGATACGAGGACAATTTATCTAGAAGACGACAATGACCAAAAAACATGGTATTCGCTGCTTCCCGTATTTGTTCGTATGTACATATCGAAGGTTTAATATGGCTCGTACCGTGCTTACAATTTTCGAAAATGCATACATGTTTGGTTTATTATCCTCGGGTGTGGTATAGCGTTCACCGAATATTCAGGATCGTAATTAATTGTGGGTTAACCACGATTAATTAAACGGGTTCATTAGTCGATACATCAGAAACTTCTACGATAGTAATAACAGGTAGTATCGATTCTATTCGACGTATATAGTTGGTAACAATGGTACAAAATATGTCGAAAACCATATTACATAAATCTACGAAATATTATCGAACTTCGTTTCTCGTGTAATCCTCTCCACGAGGCTTGAGGGAGCTAACAAACCTAATACGATAAGTCGATATCTATCGTCTCTTCGTGAAGTTGATAATCGTGAGAACCTCGAAACACGATTCCACTGTGCCAGCACGAAGGTTCAACCCTAGAAAGGCTAAGGGATGCTCAAACTATCGGTAAAAAAAATTCTTAAAAATATATTTAGGATCCTTGTTGAAAATTGATTTTAGTTTAGTTTTAGGGGGAATAACGGTAAATAAAATAATGGTAATTGTCTTGTCGTAAGTGCTCGTGGCTCGAGCTTTCTAGGGTTAAAGGTGTTATCGATTTTGCGGATGCATAATAAAGCCCCGTTCGCTCGAAACTCCTTTCTCGAACAAAGGGCCGTGTATTCGATGAAGTTAAATTAGCACGATCGACAATTTCATCTGGAATAATCGCCATGTTTTCTCGTTCCTTTCGATCGAGACCGCGTTATATTCAAATAGGAATTTTCGGCACAAGTATTTTGAATAGATCGAAAATTGGAGCAAATTGAATTGATATTTCATTTTGGAGAAATACAAACTATAGTCTCATTATATTGCGCATAATGAGACATACAATAATAATATTACCGGTTACAATGGGTTCGTCAAATTTAATTTTTAATTTAATATAAATTCTTAATCTTTTAATTAAATGTAAACTGTGTTGTTGCGTGTTAAATAATTATATAGTCTCTTGATAGGGCAATAAATTTAAATTTAAAATTCAATCTTTCGCCATTTAAATATAAATTGTGTCGTTGCGTGTTAAATAATTATATAGTCCCTAAATAATCGGTAAATTTAAAATTTAATCTTAAATAACGATGAAGCAATATGAGCATAAATTTCAAATGTAAACGTATTCTAATTGATAATTATGTTTCGTTGTTGCTCTGCTCCACATTTAGCTAACATCTTTCACCTTGACATTAATATGTAGAACGGAAAATCTTTATTCATAGGCAAATGGTGGTCCACGAAATATTCCAAAAAGCAATCAATGATTCGGATGACGTCAAAATATCAAAGTTCGAACCTCGGCTGCGGAAACTTCTCCCTTACGCGAAGTGAAGTTTTAACGCCGAAAATGGACGTTTCGAACAGTGAATTTTATTTCAATCAGTCTGCTTACTCGCGATTATGATAAAAATTCTTTTCAGTCTTCTGCAAACTTTAATCAAACTTTTGTATAAGAAAGTAAAAATAAAATTACTTTTATACGTACGCGCTTGTTTAAATCAAACTTAGCATTTATTTTCACGCATATCGATTCTTTTCATTCCAGATATATAAAAATATTAAATCATAACTATTCAAAATTCCAATAATCGCGTGATATTTCGTATTTTATATGCTGATATTTCCCCTCATTACGTTTTCAAGTTATTAAAGCGATGTATCACTGAAGTATTGCAACGAATTCGTCTCTGGTTTTTATTTTTGCAATTTAATAGACGAGAGTACGAACAGGTTTAAGAGTAGAATTATCTGTTCTGGATGGAGGCGATGTTTCGTTTTAAGATTAAAACTGTTTTTGAGTTAGAAGCGTGGTCCATGGATTATTAACCAGAAACGAAGTCGATTTTCTTAAAAGATGAAACCGCATGCACGACGATGCTCGATACGCTCTAGATTAGCAGACTATTATGTCGGCATCAGATCAAGTAACCCGGCCTTTGGTATGTTCCGTGTATTGACAACTTCATTGTTCTACGGGCTGACATTGGCTTTATTCACTCCTCGATTGGCAGTGACGTAATAATTGTCGACGCGCAATCTGCATTTCCCCGATGAGGAACGGGACGCGATACAACCGTTGCCTTTGTCCTAGCGCCTAACCTACAACCTGCCGTCTGCTCTGAAATGCTTAACATTATCCGTATCGATGACAGAAATCCCAAAATTTTTCACATCAATTGCAATCTTAAACATTGTTCACTGGATAAACAAAAGAATCTTCTGTCGATTCCAATCTGAGCATTCCACTCTGCTCCACAAGAGCGTGTCGGTCATATTTTCAGCGAAAAAAGGAATTGTTTAGAATTGACCTCGAAATATAAGCATTGTACTACAATGCATTTGCTTAGTATGTTGTCCAGTCGCCATCATTGTCGATTATAGCCCAGCACCGTTTAGGCATACTTTCAGCGAGATTTTCCGCCATTGTTTCGGGTAGAGATCTTCATATTTGGCGGATGTGACGTGTCATTTGTTTCACATTAAATACTCGCTTTTCTCCGAGCTTGACCTTCATTGGTGCCCACACGTTTTCGATGGGATCAGCGTCAGGCGACTGAGAAGGCCAATCCAGTGTCCTGATGCCATTTTCGCGTTTCCACTCCGTGCTTAGGGTCATTATCCTCCTGAAGCACCCACAAGCTGTCATCTGAGCCAAACCATCTTTCAGCAGACTTTCATAAACAATGTTGATATATTTTGATCATCTTTTGGGCATTAAGATTGTCCGTAAACAGGTACAAAACTCCAAATCCTTGTCTACAGAAGCAACCCCAGACATGCACCTTTACCGGGTGCTTCACGAGGTGACCACGCATGCCTTCTTGTACCCCAGGCCCAAAAAGAGGATTCATCCGTAAAGATAATGTCGGAGAAACCACGGTCGATATTAGCCCTCGCCCACAACAGACGCTTTTCAACATGCTTTTCGGTCAAAAATGGTTTCAACTTTGTGCACCACCACCCATAGTTAGCATCATGTAATCGACGTCGAATTGTACTCAGGCTCACTTCTACACCCTTCTTCGCTAAAACTAACTTGGCTTTTCGTATGGAACAACCATGATTCTTTTTAAAGATTCTTAAAATTGCTTTGTCGTCCTTTTCTGACATTGAGAGACGCTTGCCACGTTCGGGCAGGTCGTCAACATTTTTAACTTTGTTGAGAATAGATATATTTTCAATGTCTAGCATTGCGATTTTTCTCTGCTCGACGTCGACCCAGGTCGGGTCATAAAACCCATAGGTCTGCCGATCATTTGGCGACGCCTATAAAGCCGGGCTTTTTCTCCGTTTGGAGTTAGTTGTGCGACAACCCTGACCGCGGAGAAAGTCTTTTACTTAGTTTTTCGCCTCCGTGTCTTGTAATATCCATTATTATACTTTTCAATAAACCATTTTTTCTTCTGCATGTAAGCGGTTGAGTTCAATCTTTCATAACGATAGATCCTCAACAAACTTCCTCATACCTTTTCACCCACTTCTTAATAAAGGACACTGACTTGCCCATGTAGCGACTGGCCGCTGCGAACGACATTTTGGATCCTTTTGGATGATTACAGAGAAACACCGCTTCGAAGCGACTAGCGTACGCTGCACTCGTTATTTTTATCACCCTCAACGCAGATAACAGCCCATATTACTGATTTAACCTCAAAGCATTGAAGCCAAGTGTTCAAACAGTTGAATTAACCGATTGTTAAACAAATGAGTCGTCTAGTGACAAAATTAGGAACGACACGCTCTTGTGGAACTGACAATGAGTGTATATTCCTCGTGTCCTCCATCAGAACGCCTTAAACCTCACCATTTATTTAACATTACCTCAAGAGAGAAATGAAATGTTTTTAGAAAAATATCTTCGAAACAAATTGATCTTTTCAGGTTCTATGAGGTTATTTCTAGGTCGTTCTGTTAAATTTTATTATATAATTGGGTTTCTCTTAGATAGTTTAAGGTGTTCCTGACGTGGTCCTCTGAAGTCAACGATATTTTCTTCTTTGAACAAGTTTGAGCAAATCTTTGGCATTCATACAGTGGATGGTGTGTTGATATTAGTTGGTTACAAGGGTTGCAAATCTGACTTTTGTGGCAAACGTTCATAATCCTTGAATGCCCTATTATTAGTCTTGATAGAATTATTCTATCTTTCCTGGCGAGGTTTCAAGTTGATACTTGTTGAAAGAAGTCCTGTATTATATTACGTATCTTCGTACGGTTTGGTGAGTTCCATGTTTCATTCCATTTGTTTCTTTCTATTTTACGGATCGATTTAAAGAGGTCTGCGTAAGAAATTGGGCGGTTGTTGCGTCTTTCGTATTAATAACAAATTGATTTTATGCATTCTAATAAGAGTACAAATAATCTTGTATCGTATTCGCGAACTTATCGAACGTATAGTTTCAAAACGGGAGAATTTTCCAATTTTTATTCTATTCAGTTTCCATTATCGTCAAATATACACGCGTTCGATCAATCTACGAGTCGTTTTCTCTAAAACTGTTCGAAAGGAAATTTACCGCTGCTGCGAGGATTTATTCTGACAAGAAGAATCTTCCCGTTTACGGTTCCCCTGCAATATTTGGCTTATGTATGCACGCGTGTAAACATTAATATTCGTATTAGCAAAGGAACTACCAAGATTTCCGGGCGTCTCAAAGCAGACAGTTTTTCCTTTCATCAAAATTCCATCCTGGAAGCTCGCAGCGGCAAACCAGTCTCGAGTATTTCGAAACCGTTTCTCCTAGTCACGAATCTATCCGCGAATTTACATGCTTTATGGTTTTAAGACTGAATATTCTCCGACGATGCTCCATTTTAAAATTACTTCGCTCTTTACTCTTCGATAAATGAAAAGATGATGGTTGAGGTCATAATACTTAACCCTTAAGTGGATTATTGTGGCAAGTTTAAACTAATAATTGTTTAATATGTGTCAATATAATTATGTGAAAGTTTATGTAATAAAAGGTAAACGTCAACATTAAGTAAACTAATTTAGTTATGGTTGAGAGTCCACTTAAAGGTTAATGCACCAACAAGTGGAACACAACGTTATTTCTCATAAATTTCTATTAAACAAATAGTCCAACATGGGCCAAATATGTTTCGATTCAAAGTATCGGATAACCTTGGCTGCTTCACGTTAATTTGTTGAGTAAATAAAATATAATGGCGTTAATCTTTTCATAATAATACGAACAGTAAAACAGTGAAACGAAATAAAAAACCTCCACGAAGGGAGAACGCGAAACAAATGGATTCCATTTCCTTCGAATTCAAGAATTTCTCCGTAATATGTTTCCGTCTACAAAATTCAGGTAATCGTTCAAATATTCTCGCGATGCACCCCGCCTGTACTCACATCCTCGCAGGAACATCTTGCAAGAAGCAATCATACTTAATGTTTAAGCACAAGACTGACACTAAGGGTGGAACTTCTGTAATCTTCGAATCGACTTCGGAACTTCTGTAACCTTCGGACTCGTTCGAATATTAATCGAGACAATCCAGACTTTAGAACCGGTGTACCTTACGAACTTGTCACTTTCAATGCACTCGAAACTGGAGCCATTAAAAACTGAAACTTACCACCTGGTAACCGTTAAACCGTGGAATCGAAACTGGTCGAACTCTATCTGCTCCGTCATCCACAGACACAACAAGTCAAACGCAGATTCTGTATTTTCAAATTTTCATTTCGTTTTTTTCTAAATTTCATTGAACGAAAGAAACATTTTCGATTTCAAGCGTACGAGACTGAAGATAATTTTTATTTCCTATTTCGACTGAGGAACGCTTGTCAAAATTTATGGTATTGGCAAATGTAATAGAATATGACAAGTAAAATCGAAAGACCGTGTAACTCGCCCTAATCTACGTGCAACTTCTCACCTGCACACACTGCGTCACTCATTCCTGTAAACATTGTGTTATCCGTGCTCTACGAACCCTGCATCATCCTAGCTTCCGAGGCTTTCACCTACATTTCCTAAGCCTTGATCGATCTTATCGCTTGCCCGTCTCCTAGTTTCCAAATCCTTGAAACGGGAGGGCTTTTCTTTCGCTCACGAAGAGTGTCAGTTCTCACTATATTAAACTCTGGTAAATAAAGATCTAATTTTTCCATCGACATTCTTCCTGCATCCTAACGTGATCCGACTCCTACGATTATCATAATTGAACTGCTTTGAAGCGGCAAGGAGGCTTCCCCTTTGAAATGATTTTTATTTTCGATACGATTTTCCGTTTTGCAGAGTTCCTCGTGTAAAGAAAGAAACGTACTTTTTAAAATTCCACTGTCTCTCTCTATTGGTCTTATAAAAGTCTATTAAAGAATATTAAAAATAGTAAAACTTTAGTCGCGTGTAATTCCGAAACTATTAGTGTTTTATTAATAATTATGCCACTGTTGGCAGCGGTGAAGCTTCCCCTTTAAAACGGCTTTTGGTTTTTGACGATCGGACTTTCCGTTTTCGAGATATCGTAATTTATGTAAAAAGGTATTTTTCTTAATTTGACTATCTCTGTCTCCGTCTGACGCGTCGCGCTGGACCTCTTTGTCGCACGTGAGTCGTGACTGTCGTGACCTAGTTTCGGCGTAGTATTTCCAAGAATTTACTACGCACTGTTTACTATTTTAGCGCGCGCGAGTTCATTGATCTGAATAAACGTAAACAAACGCTTCGGTCCCTCGTATCTCCGTAACTAGCTACCGCATCAACTTGAAACTAAAATCGTCATATCTCCGGAACTAATTGAGCTATCGAGTTATTCGAACGCTCATTTTAAAGGGCATTTCACCCCCTATCCAATGTATATAACAAATATTATAGTTAATGCTGTCTTCTGTGTTTATTTTCACATTGACTTTGACTTTATGCACCCAAAGAAGTTTCAAAGATTCCTTTTGATCATACAACCGGTGTGCGATTAACACTGAATTATAGATCTTTTCTTTAACGCTTAAATGCATGATTCTTTAATTTTAACCGAAAAAATGTATTACATGTGGATTATTATATAGGTTTATTCAAAATAACAAAAAAAATTTCTATTCCCATTCTGCATACCGTATCATTTTTTAATCAGATGAATCAAGTAAAAAACCAGTGCAATATCAACATATTTAAAAAAAAGAGACGCTTATCAGCGCATAAAATACAGGTACTTACCTACAAAATATCTTTTTAGCAAGAATAAATCTCCAAAAAAATTTTATTTTATTGTCACTCCTAACTGTCACGAACTTTTTCAGACGCGCCAAAACAATTCCTCAATCTAAATGTCATATTGAAAATCGCATCGATTTACTTTTTTAAGCTAAATAAATATAATAAAAGTAAATATAATTTACTTTTTTAAGCAATAAAGCTTTCACTACGGTTAATGCCACAATTAGAAGTGAAAGACAGTATTTAATATTTGAGGCACTATGCATTTACGGATTAATCGAAAATGAGTATGTATATGTATACAGAAGGTTCTTGTCGTTAGTGGTCAGAATTTTACGATGCCGTAACTTATAATTTATGCTATTTTCCATATTTATTTTAAAATTTCCTTTAACACTATGTATTCAAAGGAGTTTCAACAATCCCTATAATTCCCAAACATTTTGTAAATATTTTAATAGGAAGATTTACTCACCTTGATTCGGACCATCATATTCAGGTGGCCCTGGCTGTACTGTTCGATGACATCGCGAACGTCGTAAGGTTTACGGGCCTGTTGAAATTTCCTCCTCGCCACGAAGTATTTGATCTTTCTGATCGCCCTTATGGCGTTTCGATGTGCTTCGGTTAACCTGAAAATCAACGAAATTTCATTCCCCGGTTGGAACTGCACGCCTGGGTTGCTCCCGATCTCTGCAGGCACGTTTCGGAATGGGCATTATCACGGAATGACTATCATTTTTATCGTGTTCACGTTTTCTTGTCGTTGATTTACGATCTGGCACGATTGATTTTCCTGTGCATCTGCTTCGGGAGGTTTTACTTAATGTACCAAGCGTGCAAAGAACAGAAACCGATTTGTAATTTGTTCACGGACCAAAATCGAATCATTCCGTTACATTTGCTTCCTTCGATCTGTTAGTCGAAAACAGAGTGTTCTCGCGCTCTTGAGAATATATAAAAATACGTATTTCGAGTTGGTCGAAAAACAAAATAGTTACTTACGTCCAATGATAATTTGGAGATACTTTGATACCAAAAATTTTTAAGTCTTAAAATTTGACTAAAACAGGATCTAACGCATTTCCCAAATGTAAATAGAAATTTTCAAATCCACAGTTCAACGTTATACAGCAAAATTCCCTCGTGTTGCTACGATAAAATTCAAACTTTAAAATTGTTTCATCAACGTTGAACGAATTTTAGCGATGGCTGTTCGAAGCTCAACCGCGTTTTAAAGTATTTTTTACTAGATTTTCGGGATCAAATACCCTACTGTACGACGTTTTCGAGCCCCAAACGTAAAAGAATTGTTATTCCATGGAAGACGGCGTCGCCTGTCGATTGTTCGTGCAACTTTGGTTGTCGATATTCCGAATTGCATGGAAATACTCTCCACTATTGGCTCTCGGTTTTTCAAGCCGGTTCAAACGACACGCGTGCCACCCATGTTCTCTCGACGAGCAATTACGAGAACATTCTCGAGAAAAGTGGCCGTTCTTCATCTGTTTACGATTCGACACAGTTTACCTCGAGCAAAGACGCTTTCTCGCAACATTAGGTGCAGTTTCATGTAGATTCGAATATCGTTTCATACGCGGGACACACGAATGTTTGCTCGAACAAGGGCTTATTCAAATCAAATTTTATTCAAGCACCTTGGACGGATGGAGATAAGAAAATCGATATTCCTTTCGTAAACAACAACACTGTCGATAAGCACTACTTACGGTATACGTATAGTACATACACGCATAAATTAGAATATTTGGGATTCTCTATCGATGAAGAAATAATTTTAGCAGAGTCCTTAAAATACAAAATCTCTTTTAGAAGAAATATATATAAAAAAAAAGCTACTGATAGTGTTTGAGTAAAGAGAACTTTCAGTACTCCGAGTTGACACTATTAATTACGAGAAACCACATAGCCTAACTCGAAAAACACTGCCATAGAGTGTCTATGGGATTACATAAAACGACAGTTGGGTTCACGGTCGTAAGAAAAATGAATTACTTTGACAAATCACGAAGCCGTGATCCCAAGGGCCAACGAATTAATGCACGAACTTAGTATACTCAATGTCACGCAGATGCTAAGCTGTTATTAAAACAAAGGTCTTATCAACTTTGTGCTAACGTAATACGAAGAGTGTGGAGCTTCTGTCGACTTAAGTTAATTATGTTTCGAAACTTTGTCATATTAAACCCTTGACGTACGATTTAGTTTCAAATAATTCTTCAAACGTGTACTATACAGGGTGTTCGGCCACCCCTGGGAAAAATTGTAATGAGGGATTCTAGAGGCCAAAATAAGACGAAAATCAAGGATGCCAATTTGTTGATGGAGGCTTCGTTAAAAAGTTATTAACAATTAAATTCAAAAATTTCAAATCGTTCTGGAAAAATTATTTTCGGTTGCGGGGCTCAATTACAATCATTTTTGGTGAATACACATACCTCCGAAATCCTATCCACTTTCGAGAAAAAAAATCGGGTAGGTGTGAAATTTTTTGATGGGAAAAAAAATTTCAAATTGTTCTAAAAAAATTATTTTCGGTTGCAGGGGTCAATTACAATCATTTTTGGTGAATACACATACCCCTGAAATACTACCCACTTTCGAGAAAAAAATTCGAGTAAATGCTGAAATTTTTCGGCGAAATTAAAAAATTTCAAATCATACTAAAAAAATTATATTTAGTTATAGGGGTTAATTACAATCATTTTTTGTGAATAGACATACTCCAGAAATCCGAACTATTTTCGAGAAAAAAATTCGAGTAGGTACAGAAATTTTTAGACAAAATTAAAAAATTTCAAATCACACTAAAAAAAATATATTTAGTTACAGGGTTCAATTACAAGCATTTTTGGTGAATAGACATACTCCCGAAATACGAACTATTTTCGAGAAAAAAATTCATTACTGAAAATATAATGTCTAACCATACATTGATATGTTTCCCTGAAAATTGAAAAGTTTCAAATCATTCTGGAAAAATTATTTTCGGTTGCGGGGGGTAATTGCAATCATTTTTGGTGAATAGACATACCCCCGAATTCCTACCCACTTTCGAGAAAAAAATTCGAGTAAATGCTGAAATTTTTCGGCGAAATTAAAAAATTTCAAATCATACTAAAAAAATTATATTTAGTTATAGGGGTTAATTACAATCATTTTTTGTGAATAGACATACTCCAGAAATCCGAACTATTTTCGAGAAAAAAATTCGAGTAGGTACAGAAATTTTTAGACAAAATTAAAAAATTTCAAATCACACTAAAAAAAATATATTTAGTTACAGGGTTCAATTACAAGCATTTTTGGTGAATAGACATACTCCCGAAATACGAACTATTTTCGAGAAAAAAATTCATTACTGAAAATATAATGTCTAACCATACATTGATATGTTTCCCTGAAAATTGAAAAGTTTCAAATCATTCTGGAAAAATTATTTTAGGTTGCGGGGGGTAATTGCAATCATTTTTGGTGAATAGACATACCCCCGAATTCCTACCCACTTTCGAGAAAAAAATTCGAGTAAATGCTGAAATTTTTCGGCGAAATTAAAAAATTTCAAATCATACTAAAAAAATTATATTTAGTTATAGGGGATAATTACAATCATTTTTTGTGAATAGACATACCCCCGAAATCCTGAGCATTTTCGAGAAAAAAATTCAGTACGGGCGGAAGTTTAAACGTTAATAACTTTTTAACAAAGCCTCCATCAACAAATTGGTATTCTTGATTTTCGTTTTACTTTGACGTCTAGAATCTCCCATTACAATTTTTTCCATGGGTGCCTGAACACCCTGTATAATTTTTATTGAATTTATACGTACAATGGTCATGGAAAAGAATAGATTTATTTTACGAGTACCTCATGAATGTAAAAATGTGTTGATTTGACAGTCATTGACAAGTAAGTAGCCTTACGATTGTGAAATTTGACATCAAGAACTTGTGACGAGTTAGACTCGTTATTGTACAGCAAAGAGTTAATTACATTTATACACCTTTAAAGAGATCAGCTAATCATACAGAGCTTTCGATACGATTGGACTTAAAAGGGCAACGTTTTAGGGAAATTCGCGATTCTGAAACGGCGTAGTCGTGAAAACCGCGATCGTAGCTACTTTTCAGAAACGATTTCGCACGAGAACTGCAAAGCGTGGCAAAGCGTGGCTAAATAAAACGTTAAAAGAAAGAAACACGGTTCGAGTATCAAACGCAAGGGATGCGTCGCGAAGAAGAGGAAAGAGAAAAATCTGGCCGCGACTGTCTTTGTGTTAGGGGTTCGAGTATCGCGCTCTGCAAAGAATGTAGGCCGTCCGTGAAGCTGAGTAATGCACCGGTGAAAAAAGCACTTACGTTCTGTGCTTTTCAAGAAAAAAAAAGCCTTTCACGAGAGCCACCACCGCGAGGTAACGTTTCGTTCCTCTTTCGAGAACGCGGTACCCGGAAATGTCAATGCCGCGCCATGATGATCGTTTCTGAAAATCTAGTTTTCATTTATCGATGCAGACCGTTCCTCGAATATCAATCATTTTCCGATTTTCATTCAAATTTTCTTCTATTTTCTGCGTGTGACAAACTTGGTTTTAAGCGTATTCTCTCACGATTGGTGATCTTGTATTTTCTTCTACTATGAAACTTGTAGTAGCTTTTATTTGGTATGTTTTTCTTTTATGTGTTTCATGTCGACTCGTAGTTTTCATTTATCGATGCATATCAATCATTTTCAAAATTTCATTTAACTTTTCTTCTCTTTCCTACGTGTTACAAGCTGTGACAAACTCGGTTTCACGCGTGTTTTTTCATGATTAGTGATCTTGTATTTTCTTTTTCTATGAAGCTTGTAATAGCCTTTATTTTTCATTAAAAATATTTGGTATATTTTCCTTTTATGTGTTTCGTCTCCTAGTTTTCATTTATCGATGCAGATCGTTCCTCAAATATCAATCATTTTCAGATTTTCATTAAACGTTTCTTCTTTTTTTTAAGCCTGACATACTTGGTTTGAAGCGTGTTTTCTCACGATTAGTGATTTTGTATTTTATTTTTCTATGAAACTTGTAGTAGCTTTTATTTTGAACTAAAAATATTTGGTATGTTTTTCTTTTATGTGTTTCGTCTCGACTCCTAGTTTTCATTTATCGATGCAGATCAATCATTTTCAGATTTTCGTTAAAAGTTTCTTCTCTTTTTTGCGTGTGACAAACTTGATTTCAAGCGTGTTTTCTCACAATCAGTGACCTTATATTTTCTTTTTCTATAAAAGTTGTAATAGCCTTTATTTTGTATTAAAAATATTCGGTAAGTTTTTCTTTTACGTGTTGCGTAGTTTTTATATTTCAAAGAGGGTTTGGGGTTAAGAGCCAACAATGTATATTGACGATTCTAATAGTGGTAAAAATGAGTAAATGACTTGGTCGATAGTGTACGCCGTAAGTTGCCATCTGAGAACATTTCGAGCGTGTAGTACGAACCCGTGATAGACGAAAATCCTCCGGTAATATCGATTCCGCATGCAAAATGAAAGTAATTTGCATGGAGATATATAGACTCCTACGGCTTTCCTACGTCCTGATTTTGCCGGTTGTTATCTAGCCCGACGTAAGCGTAAAATGGTCGAACGATATTCCCACGACAGCCAGTCAAAAAGCTATTAAAAACTTCTTAAAGGCTCTTTTTTAAAAGCAATCTTTCTTGTTACAACCACGACGAAGTTCCTTCGTTTTCAAGCGACGAGAAAACACGTTATGTATATTCACTTAAAATTTCAAATTGACAAATAGTTCGTCGAATATTTGTTTCCTTATCTCGACTTCTAAAAGTTCTTTTTTTTTAAGGCGATTCCATGTTGTTACAACCACGACGAAGTTTCTTCGTTTTCAAGAGACGAGAAAAGATGCTACGTATATTCGAGAAAAAACGATTTAAATCTTCAAATATAATTAATATTTTGCTATAGAATTTAAGCTCTGTATATTTAAATGTGCCCTCAGAAAATGTAGAAACTTCTTTTAATACTATTTTATCTATATCAAAACAATTTCCTGACTGTGTCGTATTTGTTTAAAGTTGTGTTGATAGGGAAGAATCTAGTCGCGGATATTAAATGACTGAATTCTAAGGGAAAGCAACGTGTCCACTCGTATTTAACGGACACCCTGGGGTACAGGTGAGTAGCTGCGAATGACGAGCGCGGAAATTCAGCAATTTCCTCACAGTTGGTCTTGCAAGTTGGAAACTGGAAAGGATTCGAGAAACGTGCAAGCAAAGCTAAGAAATTGATGTCTAATTCGATACCTTCTGAGGGCGAGATTAGAAAGTTCGTGCTTCTAAGCTACGAGTAGACGAAGTTACTAAAATCCCTAAAGTAGTTTAAAAATGATGGCGACGAGTCGTGTTGCTCGGGATCTGTATCACATAAAAAGTACGATTTTTTAGAAATTTATTGTGGTTGAAAAGCATAACTGATTTATAATTTATCTGGTGGAAGTTTCATTAATTTCGACTATGTAACAAATAAAGATAAATCTGAGACAATTCTATGAAGTTGGAATATCTTGTCATGCGATTAATCCAACTTAATGATCGCATTAAGCTGGTAATTACAATGGGAGAAAGTTTTTGAGTATTTTAACGTTAGTACTAGTCTGTTTTCCTGTTCACCTAATTTACCTAGACACAGTTTCCCTATAACTAAATGTCTGTAGGAAACATTACCCACTTTGTGTAATGTGCTCCCTTCGCTTCTACTTTGTTGGAATAATTGTGTCGATTAGTAAAATGTATAGCATTCTATTTAATAAAATGAGCAACCACATGCTTGCGCGTAAACGCATTGTAAATTTACATTGACTATTGTAAACGTTGTTTATTAAGAATACCAATTTGTTGATGGAGGCTTCGTTAAAAAGTTATTAACAATTAAATTCAAAAATTTCAAATCGTTCTGGAAAAACTATTTTCATCTACGGGGGTCAATTACAATCATTTTTGGTCATTACACATACCTCCGAAATTCTATCCATTTTTGAGAAAAAAATTCAAGAAGGTGTGAAATTTTTCGACGCAAAAAAAAAAATTTCAAATAGTTCTGGAAAAATTATTTTTGATTGCGGGGGTTAATTACAATCATTTTTGGTCATTACATATACCCTCGAAATCCTACGCACTTTCGAGAAAAAAATTCCTTACCAAAAATCTAATTAGGTGCCTTTTTTCGATGAAAAAAACAATTTCAAATCTTTCTGGAAAAATTATTTTCACTTGCGGGGGACAATTATAATCATTTTTGGTGAATAGACGTACCCCCGAAATCCTGCGCATTTTCGAGAAAAAAATTCAGTAAGGGCGGAACTTTAAACGTTAATAACTTTTTAATAAAGCCTCCATCAACAAATTGGTATTCTTGATTTTCGTCTTATTTTGGCCTCTAGAATTTCTCATTCAAATTTTTTCCAGGGATGGCCGAACACCCTGTATAGGAAAACTATTTTATAATGAAAGGAATTTTAGATAGAGTTCATGCTTTATAGCCAATATTTGATAGAAAATGATTTTAAACGTTATTTATTAGCTTTAGTTCACTTTTTTGGAAACAATCGTGGAACTTTGCATTCCAGATTGCTATGAGAAACATTGAAATTCAATTTAAAAACTGACGGATAACAAAGGAGGCACTGAAAATAGGAAAAAAATTTCAATCTTTTAAAATCCCGTAAAAATTCCTGAGTATGCAGGCTGCGCCTGTGCCAAGTAGGAAAAATTTTTTCACGTTTCACATGTACGCGAAAAGCGAAATATCTCGGATAATTTAAAATTTCTGTTTACAATCGTAACGAAAGCATGCAAAGCAGTAAATTAAATTTTCGTAAAAAAGCGACTGGAAAAAACTGATAATTAAAAACGGAAAACTTGATCAGCCGCATAATTAAAATTCTGAAACTATATAATCTGCTTAATTAATGAAACGGCGTGAACTATGTTTTCATAGCTGTATTTCTCGAGTGAATTCTTTATGTTCCCCGACTCTCTCGCAAAAACAAATACAAAATTTTAATTCAGAAGAAATTCCCAAGGTATGTTTTTCAAAGCCACGGTTTATAAATTACGCAGTCTGTTCTGTTCCCAAAAGAGTAATTAGCTCGAACAGAAATAAAGACACGACTTTAACTCGGAGAAATTCTAAAGATATTCTTTCAAAGGCTATGCCTTCAAACAAGTTTTTTTACATATCTTGACGAAGAAATAGCTTCTATAGAAATAAATATTAAATTTTAAACTGAACGAATCGCCAAACTGTGCTCCGCGAGAATAAAATAATTGTTCACTTTATACCAAGTAAATATAATATTTGGTGTCTGACTTATTTAAAAAAATTTATTTTTTCTTTAATGCTCCCTGGGGGTAAATGACACATTTTTAATCATTATATTGTTCGATGGATGGGTTTTTGAGATACAGAAAATTATATTTGAATTTACACACTATAAATGCAATGAATCATCGACGGCGAAGAATGGGAAATCATGCAAGGTAATAAATACAATTTCCATGACAACTTTCCTTGTAATACTATACTTTTAATCTTACCGAATGAAAATAACTCGTGCAGAAAATAGTGCAAAATTGTAAGGGGATGAAATACTCCGATGAAAGCGTGAAAATTACGAACGAGAAAGCGTGCTCATACAATTATTAATATTAACCCTTCAGCTTTTAAATGCAGTATTCGTACTGCTAATTTTTTACAACAAAAATCGATCTTTTGTGACATATGTGAGGGTTGTTTCTCTTATACACAATACAAAAGACACGTGCATGTAATTGTGGAAGTAGCTTTGACAAAAAAATTTTAAAACATTGAATTTACCACTCGATACATACTATAGTAATATGAAAAAAATATTCGTATAATCAATATTAAAATAGGGGAAATCCTCAGCATCTCGAACTGTTAGGTTGCTGCATTAATTCTGCCCATTTATTAATTAGTATATACAACGTGATAACTTTGTACTTTCGTTTGACAATTGAAGTTAGTGTTCGCGAAGAATTTGAAAGCCAGAGTTAAGAGAAATGTTAAACATTGTAATATGAATGGAACCACAGACCTCATACGCAGCAACCTAATAGAAAATGAAATTATTGGATCTACTTTCTTCGAAACATCGTACACTTAGAGTAAATCCTCCAAAAGAGAAACACGTATGCAGAATGTGTTAAGTTTTCGCCCCATTCCGAAAAGCGCTGTGGCCGGGAAAGGAGGAAAATCACGTATGGGAAAGTATACTTACGTGGTGACCCTTTGAGGTTCTTCGATATCAATGTCAATTTCGTCGCTGGTGGCCTCCGTGACGGAGCTTGTCTGCGAGGTGAAGAGGCTTCCCCTGCCAACCGGAAATACGCTACTCACACTACCAAACTCGAGAACTAGTTCCTTCGACGTTCAAAGCCGCTCTAGAGAAAGTGCCCTTCAGTCGGCTGACGTTTCCTGTCAGCCCAAGTTTCCCGACCAGCTATTATTTCGCGGTGAAATTTCCAGAGATTTTCCACTCGGCTCCCACGCATATTCTCCACGTGTTGTGCTCCACTTTTCGAAACGCTGGACGAAGAAATCGGACGCGTTCGCGACCCCACTGCTCGGTTAATTGATCGATTTAAGGAGGATTCGAAGATCAAGGATTTTCAATGGAGAGTAACAGACGACTGTGACCGCGCGAAATTTGATTAAAAATCGTGGTTTTCTCTTTAATCGCTTTCTGATATTTATATCTTGGTGTTAGTTTTGACAGGGTCAATGACAGCCGACTTTCAGCGTTTTCTCTAGAGCAATTAACAAGATTGAACATCAAGATCACAGAAGTGGCAGTACGACGTAAATCAATTATTCATCTCGCTAAAAATTGTTTTAGACAGTTTCATCACTACGTCCATATTCTGAATTTATTCGTTAATTTTCTGGAAAGCTCACAAACACAGCTCGAAACTACGAACGAACAGTGACAAGTAAACGAGTACGTTCGCGTTACGTTTTAATAATAATTTTAGTGTTTCTTTACAATAATGTTTATTGCAAGTAATATCGTAAAGTACGACATTTCGTGGGCTAAACAGTTAGCCATCAGTTTTGAAACACGTTGTACGGCAAAAGGAGATACTTGAATGTCTTTAAATAGAGTGCAATTGCATTATGCAGATGCATCGTTGCATTTACATGAAAAGAGACGACGCGGACATATACACCTTACTATATCATTCAACATTTTCCACCGTGGCTCTTTACCTTTCGCCAAACGGGAAATACCACTCGTCTGGCACACGTTGAATCACTCTGCGTATCATTTTGGAGCTTTCGAAGCACCAAGTTTCTCAGTGAACGATAGTACATTAGTTCGATACAATAACAGTGCGTTCTCAGACACTCGATGAAGCTGGTGAGTGCAATGCTGATAAAACGTCGCGATACTCTTTCAGAAAAATACAATTAGCAACCACGTTTCTTAGTCCCAACATGATTTCTACCAATTTCTTTCATTTAAAGTTTATCTGTATTGACTCGAACGTTCGATAAAAATAATTAAGCTCGTCGAAACTTCTGCAAAGAGGCAACAAAATTATTTCGTTATTTATTTCAAATTAAATGGAGCTCGTTCGTACGTACGCCTCGTATCGTTGTTGTGTTTCGATTATTGTAGATCGATTACGGCATAATTAAAATTCAGGTCGTGTAAAGTGTTACAAAGCGTGAAATACGTGTCATGTAGAATAAACAATCTTTAATAATTGGAAACGATCGATACTGAAATTGAGAAAATATAAAAAACAAATTATAAGGAAAGTATGTAAGCAATATTACGAAATAAAAAAGAGAAAAAGTGACGAAACATTCTTTTAAATTGGGAAACATTCAAAACGTAACTGTGATGATTAACAATCAAAGTTAAAGTGTGTAGATATAAAAAAATTGATTATATCGTATATTATGTGCGCTTCAAAATGATCGAGAATGTTTGTGTGATAAAAGATCGATCAAAAAAGTTGAAACAATTTTTTATAATGTTAGTGGATCCTATGCTAACTGAATATCGACTGATTTTTAACTGACTATAACTGCTTTCGGGATTTCCTAATTCCTCGTTGCTAGCTACAGTAAAACCTCGGTAAATCCTCGATAATTGCATAGGAATTATCGTTTATTGCACAGTGTCGACAAGTGGACATAGTAGGAATTCGGCAACGAGTGAAATTGTAGGTGGAAGATACAAGTAGCAGTGATCTTAGATAGTGAAAATATACTTACTGTCTAAGTGGGGCTTCTTCTTATCGAATTTATTACCTCGATCGTTGCACGAGTCTCCATAACTGCAGGATTTCTCACAATTCGTTTTCTTGCAATTATCGAGGTTCTACTGTTCCTGACTATAATGTGTCTACATTCTCTCGTAATCTATTTAGTCAATAAAAGCCTCTTTCCTTCAACTATGCTGATGTCCAAACGACTATGGACCAATGTACAATAAATCTATCATATGAGTATCATATTCCACGGTCATTCGAGAAATCTGATAAGATAAATATTACATGCACTAAATTTTTCAGAAACTTTCCAAAATTCCAATGGATAATTAAAATTCACATAAGGAAGATGTTATGCCGAAGAGAGCCCATTTAAAATTAAAAATACAATATATTTGCAACTTTAATAGTTGTATTGAAAGGAAACGTCATTCAAAACGATACAAATGTTCGATAAACGAAGAATAATAAAACTTGAATTCCATATACGAGGGCGGTCCGATAAGTACTTAGCCTCACCACCCGATGGTCGCCACGATGGCAAGAGAAATTTACTATCGTGTAGTACATTCTTGTAGACAGTTACTGTCAAAATTTCAGCCGAATCGGACTCGTAGTTTTGTTTTGACCGCGTGTGGAAGCGGGTGTGTCCGCGTATTTTAGAAAAATGGAAAAAGAGCAATATCGGTCGGTGATTCGATTCTTGTTTTTGGAAGGGAAATCGCGCAGCGAAATCAAAGAGCGCTTGGATGCTGTGTACGGTGACTCTTCTCCTTCGATGGCGACCGTCAAAAATTGGTTTAACGAGTTTCAACGTGGTCGCACGTCAGTTTTTGATGAGCCACGTCCAGGTGCCCCGAAAACGGCTACCACGGAGGATAATGTGAAAAAAATTCACGATCTCGTATTGGCAGACCGACGATTGAAGGTGCGCGAGATAGCTGAGACAGTAGGCATCTCAAAAGACCGCGTGGGTCATATCCTGCATGAAATATTGGGCATGAGAAAGCTGTCGGCGCGATGGGTGCCGCGTTTGCTTACTCCGGACAACAAGCGCAACCGTGAGACCACTTCAGAGCAGTGTTTGATGCTGTTTAGGCGCAATCCGAAGGAGTTTCTGCATCGTTTCGTGACCGTCGATGAAACATGGATCCAGTGGTACACACCAGAGACCAAGGAACAGTCGAAACAGTGGACTTCACCCGGCGAACGTGCTCCGAAGAAGGCGAAGACTGTCCTATCGGCCGGAAAGGTAATGGCCACCGTTTTTTGGGATTCAAAAGGTGTGATCTGCATCGACTACCTGGACAAGGGCAAAACGATCACAGGGATCTACTATGCCGGATTATTGGGCCGATTCGACGCCGAATTGCAGGAAAAACAGCCCCATTTGGTGAAGAAAAAAGTGCTCTTCCACCATGACAACGCACTGGCTCACACCTCCGCTGTCGCCAAGGCCAAATTGGTCGAATTAGGCTACGAACTGCTGCCTCATCCACCGTATTCTCCAGATTTGGCCCCGTGCGACTTCTTTTTGTTTCCAAACTTGAAAAAGTGACTTGCCGGGCAGAAATTTGAGTCGAATGAGGAGGTTATCGCCGCCACGGAGGCCTACTTTGCAGACCTCCAGAAAACGTATTTTTCAGACGGGTTAAAGAAGTTGGAGCATCACTGGGTCAAGTGTATCGAGCTGAAAGGAGACTATGTAGAAAAATAAATCGCCACTTTTCCAAAATTTTTGTTTTTCTTTTGTAGGCTAAGTACTTATCGGACCGCCCTCGTAAGCTTTGAAAGTAAAAATGAAGATATGCTCGTACCAACTATGGTTGCCTTTTAATGGATACTTCGAGCAATGTAATTCGTATGTAGTTTCAAACGAATTGGTCCGAAATTGACGTCGAGGAACATTTTCTTTCCCTGGCGAGGTAAAGTTTCCCGGGAAATCTTTCGTCGTCCAGCGAGATCGAAGGATGGCTATAGTCGCGTTTAGAGTTAGCGTACATCGTAAAACTTCAAATGGAACTCCAGACGCCTTCGTCGAGGAGCATGCAAATTATTTGCAACTCTTTCCCGTCGAGAATTCGCGTCTCTGTTCGTGGCGCGCTCGTACTTGATGCTTTCCCGGCTGTCGCGGACCGAATAATGCGCGAAAACTGGAGAGAAAATAAATTCGTTCTGGGAAGTCCATTCCTAGCAACTTTGGATTATATTTCGAAACTGAAGTGCTTCCCTAACTTTAAGGAGATTATCCCTTTTGCTGGTTAAAGGGTTCAGCAAATTCGGTAATTTATTTTTAAACGTCAAAATTTTTCGATAAACGCAGAGACACTTTTTTTTTAACCAAACACAGTGCTCCACGATAAATAAATAATTTTCACACAAAATCTGAACAATGGACTGTAAGTTGTCTATCGTTTGACGTAGTTGGACCTAGTTGTTTATAATTTCTGTTGTAGTAATAATTGAAATCACACCGTTAATAAAAGAATATTACTTTACACTTAGGAAGCAATTTTCTTAAAAGATCGTCCTTTGATTGTGAATATATAAACATAGTTCGAATTGTATCGCGTTTAAACTCACTTTTATCGAAAAAATGTCGCCCATCCGTTGATAATAGTTCCCCTGAATAAAGTTTGTTAAATTGATAAAAAGGAGAAACAAGGCTCGATACTGTTTGTATCGTTCGAGACTATCGAGTGTCTTTTGGAAAAGCGTTTCGGTATTTCGCCAGCATTGCAGCTAGCTTCAACGAGGATCTGAGGACACATCAATATTGTATATGATATGCATTGATATTGATACTGTATAAACTGCAAGAACCGAGGCCTTGAAAGCTTCCAGCTTCAAAGATTTTAAATCCACCAAGCATGCTAATGCACACGTTGAATACATTTTTGAGAAACTTCTTCTGAAACTTTTAATTTACGACTTACGATTCGTCTGTAAATGTATCTTATTTTTGATTATTAAAATAGATGCTCATGCATGCTTTGCATACACTGAGAAGTACTTAATACTATAAGGCAGTTTTGTATTAAGGTTACTTATTTTATTACTGACACTTCAAGATCTAGATAGAATGTCGGGTTACCAGGAGATTTATAAATAATCTAAATTTTTTTTTCGTACAGATACAACTATGATTTTTTCACTAAATTCTGAAGATCCACGACCAGGTAAAAATCTGTCAAAATTATATTCCCATTGTATCAACATTTAAATTCTCCCCCACGTCTTTCTATCGGGAGGAAAATTCCTCGTAAACTTTTCAAGCTTAATCAACGAAGAGTTAATTGTCTTCGGAGATTGGAAATATGCAAATTGCCCCCGACTATTCGTAAGTATCTGACTGTCTAAGATAAAACCTGCGGTCGGAGTTGAAAATTCAAACGAAACTCATTTCGAAGTTTCAACTTTCTAAACTCTCCTTCTATTCCGGGTGCAAGGAAACGTAATTTCCATTGCAATTCGTTGATCTAAATTCCTTTTTTTTTCAATTTAGCCGCTCCGCTGCAACCCGACACCTTGCTAAACGCTAACTGGCCTCGTTTACACCACCGTTTTTCACCTATCCGATAAGCACCGGATCTGATAACTGAGAGTCTTATTGCACGTCATTATCTAATCTGGTTAGAAAATGGTTAGTTTTAAATTTCATTCGAGCAAGCTGGATTCGCTTTACGATTTTAAAACGTGTTACACAGGGTGTTCGGCCAACCCTGAAAAAAATTTTAATGGGAGATTTTAGAGACCAAAGTAAGACGAAAATCAAGAATATCAATTTGTTAATTGAGGCTTCGTTAAAAAGTTATTAAAAAATTTCAAATCATTCACAGAAAAATTATTTTCGATTGCGGGGGTCAATTACAATTATTTTTTATGAATACACATACCTACGAAATCCGACGCACTTTCGAGAAAAACATTCGAGTATGTGTGAAAGTTTTCTACAAAATTAAAAAATTTCATTCGTTCTAAAAAAAATTATTTTTAGTTGCAGGGGTCAATTACAATCATTTTCGGCCAAAAGACATACCCTCGAAATCCTATGCACTTTCGAGAAAAAAATTCAGGAAGGTAACAAATTTTTCGAGAAAATTAAAAAATTTCAAATCGTTCTGGGAAAATTATTTTCGGTTGAGGGGGTCAATTACAATCATTTTTGGTTAATAGACATACCCCCAAAATCCTGCGCATTTTCGAGAAAAAAATTCAGTAAATGCGGAACTTTAAACGTTAATAACTTTTTAACAAAGCCTCAATAAACAAATTGGTATTCTCGATTTTTGTCTTATTTTGGCCTTTAGAATCTCCTACAAAAATTTTTCCCAAGGGTGACCGAACATCCTGTATAGAATGAGTCACGTGTCCGACATTTTTAACTGCCCACATTTTTCATTCATCGTGGTTCTCGAAACAGCCATTGTTTATACTAATCAAGATACTATTTTACATTTGTTCATTACAATTACAATTACAACATTATATATATAATTATATATGTATATAATTACATTACAATTGTCAATTACATTTACTCATTATTTCCAATTGGAAAAATATAACGTATGTACATATAATGGTTTAAAAACCATACAAGTGTAACTACGATTTTTAAAAACAAAATAAATTGTAAAAATTGAATTTTTAAGCCAGAATACCCTAAAACGTCCAAGTATTGAGTCTTCTACGTCAGATATTTATTGTACATGGTAAATGGTAATGAATATGTGTTTTAAAAATCATACAGGTGTGATTACGATTTATAAAATCAAAATAAATTGTAAAAATTGACTTTCTAGACCTGAATGCCCCCTAGAACATCCAAGTATCGGTCTTTTAATTTGAACATATTATTTAAATACAATCGTAATGAACGTATTTTGTAAAAATCATTCAACAATGTCATACAATTTAAAAAAGAAAACAAAATGTAAAAATTGACCTTCTAGTCCAGAATACTCCCCTAAAATGTTCGAGTATTGAGTCCTTTGCCTCAGACATTTATTATACATGAAACGTAATGAGTATGAGTTCTATAAATCATACGTGTTTTACGATTAAAATAAAATATAAGAATAACTTCCTAGATCAGAATACCCCCTTAAACTATTGGGTCCTTTACCTCCAATATTGTACTATTTAAATAAAATCATAACGAATTGTTATATTTTCTAAAAATTATACAAAAAAGTCTTACAATTTAAAAAACAAAACAAAATATAAAAATTGACTTCCTAGACCAGGATACCCCCTTAAACGACCAACTATTGGGTCCTTTAGCTCCAACATATTATTTACATAAAATCATAACGAATTGTTATATTTTCTAAAAATCATACAAGAAAGTCTTACAATGTAACACTAGAACTACCGACAATTATAGTGAATTTATTTGTACCAAAGAAATTAAAACACTAGATACATGAAAAAATATATGATGCAATGGAAATAAATGTATATTCATTCTCTTATAGAAAATTACAGTAAACTTTCAAAAATTCAGTTGAATTTTGTTACAAGTCTTATTAGAAATTACGAATGGGTCATTTTGACTGCTTTGATAGTTCTAGTGTTAAAAAACAAAACAAAATATAAAAATTGACTTTCTAATCCAGAATACCCCTCTAAAACACCCAAGTGTTGAGTCTTTTACCTTAGACATTTGTTATACATGAAATGGTAATGAATATATGTTGTATAAATCAGTCCTTTACCTCGTTCGATTAAAATAAAATCTAAAAATTGACTTTCTAGACCAGAATACCCCCGGTTGAAGCGTTCGAAGCGGATCTTTTACCTTGCTAGAATTCATCGGTCCGGCGGTAAACACGATGGTGTGAAAGAGGCCTAACGAAGAAGAAAATCAATGGCCGACTCACCGGTTGTCGCGCCTGGCACGGTTCGGCGTGCCTGCCTTCGGCTCCTCTATGTAGAAGATAACGTCACCCTCGTTCTCCATCCGTTGATTGTCGTTCTGGCCCCCGGAGTCACCGGCGGCCCCGCTGGAAACGCCGCCGGATATCGTGACCGGCGGCAACGACTGTTGCTGCTGCTGCTGCACGTCCATCCGGTTCCGCGACTTCCGCCTCTTCAGTACGCTCGCCTTCTTTGCCACCTGGATCATCAGAGACTGAACCCCCGGTGCCCTCCCATTACAACACACGTCGAACACAACATGCACTATCCCTACTAGCGAGCACCAGCTCGGCTCCGAGCACGGATCCATCTGAAAAGCTCCCTGGCCTCGACGACTTCTAGCCGAGGGCTGCCTCTATACCCTTTTCCCTTTTCGGAATTTAGGCTCGTCGCGCCGAAGCGTCGTCTCTTCTTCCCGTCGTCCAACATTTCTCATCCGGTCGAATCGTTCTTTTTTACAAACACACTGCCGATTTCGTGCACTGATACACCAAAGAGGGGGAATTGAAAACAGTTGACACAAAATAATCCGTTTTCCAGATTTTCTACGTATGAATAAAGTAGAAAAAGTACGGAGAGGACAGTTTTCTTAACCCTTTGACTACTAAAAGCGCCTATAGACGCTCAATCGGTCGACTGTGTGCATTGAACGCCTATGGGCGTTGATCGTGTATGTTTTGACTTGTGCTCAAGTCAAAATCGACCGTGGTCGAAGGGTTAAGGAATTACAAATACGAGCCAATTCCCCGTCCCTGGCCAATACGAATATGACCGTACGCAAAATCGAATAATATTTACGTGCTTTATTTTGCATTCTGATTAATTTTATCCGACAGTAATTCTGCCTCGAACTGGAGAAATGGAGAAACTATTAACTAGTTTAGAATAACCCTTATCGAAGGGTCCACTGGTATATCTGGAACGATTTTTATTCTCGTCGCCAAATAACGTCACGTTTTGCGTATATCTTTCATATTTGTATAAAATCCGCAGTCTGTTTGTAAACCAAGAACTATGTTCGAGTATTGATAACAAAGTAAACTTGCGCTGGGAGACGGAAAGGTTTCAGTATGCTTGGAAAGATATGATGTTAGAGTTAGATTAGTATGAGATTTAACCCTTTCACCGTGGTCAATTCAGAAGTAGTATATAAAAATTAAATACTACAACTATAATTGTAGACATTTACAGATAAATAAGTGAATCTTTTGAGAAGAATAATTTTGTTTAGACACGTTCGTGGGAGGAAAAATTACACGAAATTCTGGAATCCTTTCCATGGAATTATTCATCGTGGATACAAGGAATCCTTTTTCTTGCGTGAAGATTATCTTGAATAGAAAATTAAACGTCTATAGGCATATAATGAGGGAATCCACAGAAAGACTATCTGTTCTGATAACAGTGATAGGATTAATTCGACGCGTACTGTGCAATTAGAGAATCGATGATTCATACTAGATTTACTGTCCTGAACTATTGACGTTCCCGTTATCAGGAATAATTTTGTACTTTCGGTGGGATATTACAACTAGTCAAACAAATTTCTAGCGATTTTTTAACGCGTTAAATGGTTGGATAGATACGATAATAATTAATTACAAAACATACAAATAGATTGAAACCGTAGGAAAGCTCGCGAATGAATTTGTTTAAAAACTACGATGGTTAAAAGTGAACTATTTTTTAAAAACTAGTTTCTAGACACACAACTATACCATTTAAATTTTCACGCGACGAATAGTTTACAATATTTAAGCGATACGGTTACTCGTCCCGTACAAAGTTCATTTTATTTCGAAACTTCGTATCCCCCATACGTTCGATATAGATCGCAGTAATGCATAATCCAGATAGCGGCACAGAATGTGTCATGAATTAATAATCAGCATCTATGACGTCGCAAATTGCTAGAATCCATCATTTAAGCGACGCAAAAACAATTTATAATTGCCCTAGTCGCGTGTGACAATTTTTACGCAAAAACAACGAAATTAAATACCGAATTATTCTTTTGGCGCCGAAAGAAACGTCAGAATCTCGATCGAATAAATAAACCGTCGCTCTTTAGATGTTCCTCGAATTAATTAACGAAAGACCATCGAAGTCGATTCTCAACGATTTTTTGCCGTGTCGTTGCAAACGCCGACTACGGATTCCGACAAAGAAAAATAAAAAAAAAAAGAATCCTTCTTTATTTTACGAGAGACTAAAACAAAACCCGCGACAATAAACCCGCGCATCCCCTAGAAGTTTATCGAGTTTTTTTTATGTACACGTAGGAACCACCCCCGCCTGGACGGCCACGTCGAAAATGAAACGAGTTTCCGTGCACGAATGACGAAACTGGGTCAGCATCAGTTTTCAAATCTGTTTTCGGGGCCGCCAACATAAACTCCGCATTAACGTCATATTCTAGGCTCGCCGCATTAAGTGCTTAAGGAAGATACCAAAGGAAAGCGCGGATGGAACACGAGGATCCTAAATCCATAAAATTCCCCATAACGGAACGACGTTTTATAGCCTTCGTCCCCATACTGTGCAACACGGATGTAAGAACACACGGTTAAATCGCGAACTTCCATTCAGGACGAATTGAATTTCAAAAGGTTCGACAATGGCAAAGAATTTCGATATAACCCAAAAATTGTGATTCTTTACAGAGTCTTCGAAGGGTAGTTTTCATTTCTAAATCGTTTCGTTCGAAGACGATATCCCTTTATGAATGAAACCATTTTATCTCCTCTAATATCTGTTCAAAAATCTTCAAAAATCGTTGAATTTTATGGTTAGTAATTTAATAAACCCATAAAAGATGTTTACTATTTTCATTACTACTCCATTAAACGACTAATTTAATCACGACTAAAGATATAATTATCGTTGAATCAACGACCAATGATATTATACCTGTTCTACATTAAGCATCATTATCGAGCGCTCGGGATTCATAATTAATAACAATTAGTCCGGTACACTACACCCGCAATTTATAGGAAATAAAAGAACGATATACCGAATGCACTATTTACTCTAAATACTTTCGTTCGTTGTAAACTAATTTCTACTTTAACATTAGAATTTTTATTTACTGTAAGCGTTGTATTTTCGCCCGATATCTGCACTAAACAGTTCTGCTCTCGACAAGTGTCATTGAGAAAAAATTTTTCCATCCCTGGTTCGTGAAATCAATAATTAGAATTTCAAATTTCATACCGTTCGATCGAATAAATAACTTTCCGTATTTTTAATTGTCGTCCGTTATCTTGCGTTTCTCATTCTCGAGAGTAAAACTGTCAAGTGGCAGGAACGGAGAAGCAAAGTCACGAAACGGGAGGCGAGACACGATGAAACGAAATAAGAAAATAGGGAAAATGGTTGGAAAAAAAGGGGGAACGATCGAAAAAGGGCCTAGAAACTCGAGTGGAGTTTCATTTTAGAGCGTTTTAACGCCGATCCTGTGCTCGCGAACGTAAAAACCTGGCGGCGTTTGTCGCGTACCATCGAAATTCAGGAAACAATCGCGCGTCGGAGAGGAAAACGACGTCAGAAGAATTCGAGTGGCGATCGCGACAGCGGGCGAGCGTAAATTCCCGGGTTGCGAACACGAGCGTTCGTTTCGTTGCTTTTGCAGGCTGATGCGAAAATAAAACAGCAACACGTATGCATACACCGTAGAACAGGGTTGACGCAGGGATGATTCAACCGCAGATATCTTGCGCGACAAACGCTGCGAAAAGGGTTTTAAAACGCCCTCGTCCTTCTACAAAAATTATTTCCTTACCCGGAAATTCGTAAACGCGACGCAATGGAAACAAACAGCCGTCTTGTTTGCACTGCTGGAAAACGAATCGACAAACTCGTTGCAGAATTTTCTTTTCGCCGACGTAACGTGCGACAATAAACTCTAAAACACACGGTCGATGCATTTTCCTTCCCGCCTCGAATATTTCGAACGTTTTCGCGCGGGATTAAAAGACGTCCCTTCCTGCGTTAAATTGTTTTGCAATTTATTTCGACCTCAACTGAAGATCGTCGATGCAATAAAATTTTGAAACTTTCTAGAAATTCTTTTAAGATGTTTGCTTTAATTTTTCTACTGGAACTGTAAATAGATACACGATTAAACAACATTCCTGGAGTATTAAAAGAATCCTTGTAGAATCTGTTTTTGTAATGTTTCTCGAGTGTTTAAGATTAGAATCATTCCTGCCGACGCTGTCAACCCATGTTGAACGTACAAGATGTGAATAAAATCGAGGACACTTGTTGTAAAAATAGTATGGAAACGTAGATTCTATGTTTATAAATCGTAGACGAGTGTCCTTAATACACAATTTCTTCTACGATGCAGTGCTATTATTTCTATCCTTTTGTTATAAAATATGTGCGTCTTGTTTGAGTATTATTTATTAAAATTAAAAAAGGGAAGATAAAAGATATACGAAGCCACGAATTTTACTTTAAGGATAAAACTGAATTAAAAATTGTGTCAACGTACGTTTGTGTAAGTGATTTTTACTTTAACGCTGGATCCTCGATTTTCATTGATACCCTGTACCTATAAGCGTTTCGTTGTACGTGTAACGCATCCTATACACAGATAGACACAGCACATATAATTCAAGCCGCATGCACGCTAACAAATAAAAAAAAAGGTGAAGTCACATCGCATGACACAGACCTTTATCCCATCGAATTAGAACGGTGATACGAAGCTTAATGGTGCAGTAATAAAAGAATAATAATACAAACACGTGTTCTTTCGTCGTGAATCGCAAGGAATATTTTGCAACCGTGTTCGAGACGCGCGACTTATGCCTTCCCGTGTGCATTATGCGAGGAAAGCGTTAACGAATTTCCGCTCGCTTCGACCGATTGATAAAAATTTTTACGATGCTAAGAAACGTAGCACGATTCCCTTGCTAGATCGATAAAGTATACCGCGAAAAGCTGTTATCTATCGGTTTTCTTTCCACGTGTACGGTTGAGACGAAAGATTGCCAGTATAAGTATAAGAATAAGAATTATTTGGAAGCCAAATGTGATTCGGAGTATCGTAAATTGGTGTATTCGTTCACACGATGACGTAGATTCTTTCATCGTAATGGCAGGTATAGCTCGATTCACGATACTTTTAACTTTAAAACACCTAATCTCTGCCCGGTTTATATGAAACGAAAGTCACGATACTATATGGAACTTGAAATGTAAAATTTCTTAAAGTTTGCATATTAATAAACAGTTGATGGAATTTAATGTTTTATTTTCTTAGGAAAAGAGTAATGATACATTTTTCATAAAATGAGCTGTTTTTAATACCTTATAGTTTCAAAGACTAAAATTTGATTCGATAATATACTTATGTAATCAATCTCTTGTATATTTACATAGACACATTTTTATTGGATAAAATAATTCTCCAAAACATTCCAAGTACAAGGTAAATCGTTATTTTATGCATAATTATTGTTACGAGTCTTTATATCGAGAACTGAGCCATTTACCTTTACGATGGAACAAATTTATGTCAACGGGTGTACATCTGAAGAAAAAACCTGGCCACGCTAATACAATTGCACCGATGATTCGGATCGTAGCAGCATATTGCTATAATATAATTACAATCGGTAATCAGCACACTAGGATCTACGTCATTTTTACTTGAAATTATTTCTTCAATTATATTTTCAGTTCCTGAACGAAAACGAAATATTTGAAATAGAAATATTCATCAAGAAATATTCATTAAGAATTTCAGTCTTGAAATAGAATTTTTACTATTTGAATATCGTGAGAAGAAAGTTCAATTTTAAAAGTTTCTATTTATTCCATTAATTTTATTAACAATGTCCTTCAGTATCGATTTATCCAGTTTTTTGCTCTGATTAAATAGAATAATGTATTTTTTAAAAGATGAAATGGAACCAATTGCTATAAAGAATATAATTAAAGAACAATCCTAGGGTAAAGGTGACGTGGACAAAAAGAAATCGTGATTGCCGATAACAGCTACCACGATCGAACAGCTGATGGCAGACTAGTTCCATGCGTAGCCCTCCTCGCGCATCGCGTGCTTTTAAGAAGGTTCTGCGCGGCCAGATTTCCCCCCGAGCGTACAATGGGAAACAAAAACGTTGACGCAAGGAGTATCGTCTCTCGATTGGTGGAACGACACGGGTGATTCGACCAATGGTAGAACGTTGCATCGTTCTACCAATCGAAATCGCTCCGCACATGCTCCATAACCTCGCAACATCTTTTTTGCCACCCGTTGTACATTAGTGTGCTGTCTGGCGGTCCCGGCGTTGAACACAAGACGATTCGATTCTCGTGTGTAAAGAAACGTGATAATTGGAAATAAATAAACATGCAAAAGAGTAAAAATTGAAATAAATCTAAAGCCTTTACATACCATCTTCTTTACACAAATCAACTGAAATATATTAGGTACATTTTATAATCGTCCAACACAAGGAACACTGATTTGTATTTACACATGTAGGTTAGATAAAGAAAAAAATTAATAAATAAAGAAAGAAAGACACGATCGTCTTAGAGAAAACGACGTTGGTGAAGGAAAAGAACGGGGTAACGCGCGAGTCTTTTGGCAGCAGATGCGAGATATACATTGTAATATGGCTCCTGCGGATGCTCCATCGCGAATTTTTGTGAACCAGTGTGCCGACGAATTTGTTTCGTATTTGGAACCGTAAACATTTGCCTCGAAATGTTTTCTACGTTTGAGAATTTTAAGTCTTTGACTAGGTCTTAATTGATCGTCTTCGTGCGCGTTTTCTACCGCAATTTTCTTTTCTTTTTTTTTTTGCAATTTCGAGTAGACGAATTTCAAATTGTTCAAGATTTTGTCGGGACTTGAACGTTCCTATTTAGCAGGCATTGCGTTCGATGGCGAATTAGCAGAAATTAATATTTGCAACCAGCGTAAAACGTCGGCGAATAAAATCCTCGGAGGCAGAACAGCCATCAGGCAACCAATAATATTACGTAAAAAACTCGATAACGATAGAATATTCTTAATGCCGTGGTTCTCACGCGTAAACCTCAAACAAACGCTAAAAAAGCCAAAGGAACTGAAACGTAAACCCACAGTAACAAATTGTAATTACAAAAAGAAACATACACTTCCATAGATCCACACCTACACATCTGCATTCCGTGAATATGTACACGAGTACTATAAAAAAAAGGAAAGAAAAAAATGAATTCAATCGTGTCGAACGCGTGACTCAAAACGTAATTCTCTTCTTTTTTTTTCTCGTACAGCGAATGCGAATAAGCAATTTGCATAACAAGAACGATCGATGTGTCGAAGTTCTGAAAGCGAGAACTGCGAGAGAATTTTAAATGAAAAAACGTTAAGCATCAAACTACGTGGCTAAATCGATCGATCAAAGTCGACACCTTCTTGATCGGATTTTTACATAAAATGCAACGTGAAAGAAAATATAAAGAAACAAAATGCATCCGATATAATTATGCGTACACCGAATTTTCAAATATTAAACATTCCAAATTACACAGGGTGCAGCATGATTCGTTGGGTGACCGAAAAGGGGACGTCTGTTTGTTACAAAATGAGGGTGAAACAAAATATTCGTAAATGAATTTTCGATTTAGAGAAATTTAAAATTAAGCGAAAAATAATGTGTGTCGCTTATCGTTTTTTAATAGAAGGTATTTTATCGATACTTTCTGTTAGTTTCAACGTTTGTCGGCTAAACAATTTTAACTGCGAACACACAAAAAATTGAATTCTTCAAATTAATTATGGAATTTATTTTAAATTTATTTCGCAGCTTTGAATTATTTCTTAACATCGAAACGCCCTTCTTTCGGTTGTAGTTTGCAAATCACGCTGCATCTTGTGTCGTTTCATGAAAAATTATGACAAACTCAAACCGACGAACGGAAGAGAATTGCTCGTTGAAAGAAGCTAACGTTGTAAGCAGTAAAACGCGATTGTTTCAAATAATAACGAATAAAACGTAAAAAAAGAGGCAAGAAAACCCAATAGAAGCCAGATTTTGATCGTGTTTCGAAACGTAAGAGAATGAAAGAGTAATATGCGAAAGCTTCCAAGCGTAATTCGAACTGCATCAACACACGAATAGTTACGAGCAACAATCAAGTATATTAATATTTCGATATTTAACGGCACATTGAAAACACAGAGCAGAAGTCGCATTCTCTGCTTGCATCCATCCACTGCCAAATAGTCTGCATAACTTCGCAGAGTACTCGAGGTCCCATCTGGGATTTCGTTTACTCTGATTCAATTAACGTTTTCAGCGGAATTCACAGGATTTTGTTATTATTCTCTCACGCACTCGCTCTTTCTCTCTCTCTCTCACTCACGCTCTTGCCTTTAACGTTAATCCGTGCATTAACGTGCCAGCAAGTATCTTCGGTCGAATTAATATTATCCGAGTTTCGATATCACGTTTCAAACGAGAACTGTCAGAGTGCTCTTTAAAATGCTGTCAGAGAGAATTCATAGGCGCACGCTGGCATTTTTAACAAAGAGGCGAATCTTAATGGACACATTTGACTGATTAGAATGTACTGTCATGATTAATAATACGAGAAAAGTAAAGATATTTCAAATAATCTTTTACAATAACGCGAATTGAAAAATTAAAATTCTAATAAAAATTAAGCTGTAAAATGTGCAAACTTGCTGACGCCATTTCAAAGGCACCCCGTATGTATGTACGTGCGATGATTCGCATAATCTCGATAAAACATCATCAAATTCAACTCAAAACGAAACACTCTAAGCTTGTGACATTTAACGTATTTTAACGTTTAACAAGTATCTACGAAAGTATCAGCGATTAACGAACAAAATTGCTATTTTATGGGTATCAACGTCAGTATGCGAACTGAAAATTGCATATCCGGTCGATAGGATAGAAAAAAAACGAAAGATTACGTATCCGATTCGTAAAAATTGAGTTCCCCGCATACAAGTTTCATTCGGTTCGATCGATTTACCGAGATCAAACGAGACGTGCTGTTTCGCGTACGTCGGGAAATTCAGACGATCTTTTAAATCCAGAAGGAAAGAGATGTTCAGAACCGAAAGGTCGTAACCCCACTCGAAGCATTTCACGTTTCTAGAGCGGATAAAATAATATTGCAAATTCTCAAGACGTCATCGACGCGATCGAACTTGGACAAATTCATCCTTTAAATTTAAAATACCGTAAAAATAAAGATCGTAAAAAAATAGTTCAACCATTCTAATAATACTGTTCGCTTATTTAGGAGGAAAATTGATTGCCAAAGTTCTGCAGTACATTCTATTTTCTCTGTTGAACGAGTGAACGTTTAAGTGGATTCTCGACCGTTCCGAACGATAGAAGAAACAAAGATCGCGAGTCACCGATTGATAACGATCCCAACGCTAACGGCAAAGAACGAAAATCTGCGTCGTTGAAAGATGGTCGATTAACATCGTAAGCATCTAGACACATCAACAACCAACGGCTAGTAGCTACTGCCACTGAACTCGGGCAAAGAGTCGCGAAAGCTTACCTTTCCCAATGGCGTGGAGGGTTGTCCGGCGGGGGCTGGGTCCTTTATATAGATGTTCCAGGTCGCCACGCTGTTGATGGCTTTGTCGGCGGCGTAACATCTCCATAGACATTGTATCAACATCGCGGCAGCCGGTATCTGCCGATTGAAGTGCTTCTGTCGTTGCTTCTGCTGGACCTTCAGCGCGAAACCGGAACCCAATATGCCCTGCAACCAGAATTTGTTCGCCCTTTACGGAGATCTCTCAACCTACAACGCTACGGAAAGTTCTTCGTGAATTATTTTCTGGATTTGAGCATTTTAGGAAATTAGCGAATTTATTTAGAGGATGTGTGAATTTTGGTAAAAAGAAACTACGAGTCCTTGATATTTCTGACAGTTTTAAATCTATTAAACCAAAACGAAAAATGCACTATTTCGTGATTAACACTAAACCTACCACGACTTGGGAAATGACCGTTTTATCAGAGGTTATGATATATTACAAAGGTAATCAAATAGAACTATATTTAACTTGTACACAATACATTTCGCATTTAACGCAATTAACTAATACTACACATATATATATATATCAAAGAAGAGAAAGATAAACTTGGACATTATGGAAAGAATACGCGTGGACGCCAATCGCCGACGCTACCATAGGCTACAGGCCCGCCAACAATGCCGACATTCACCGCATTTACAACAAGTTTTTTAAATTTCGTTTAGAATTTCTTATATACAATGTTATTTTAGCGCCATTTAACTTCACGACTATTCCTATAGTACACGTACAATGAATTTTTCAATATCCACTTATATTCTTATTGTGTGTCTTCTCAAAAAAGTATGTAGTCTGGCTTGCCTGCCACGATCGGTTATCTAACCGATTGAACGATTTATATTTTTTTATAAAAAAAACTAGACAAAATTTGGTATTCTGATTAGCTTCCGGTGTAAATAGGAAATCTATAGCAAAGTTTCCACTGTCTCAGAACAGTCTAACAACACACATTAAAAATACTGAAATCTTACACACGTACAGTTTCGAAACCACTAGTGTTTTATTAATTATTAAGCCATTGTTAGAAGCGGCAAGGCCTCCCCTTTAAAACGGTTTTTGGTTTTTGTCGATCGGACTTTCCGTTTTCGAGATATCGTAATTAATATAAAAGATAATTTTATAAATTCCGCTGTCTCTCGCTTCCCTGCTTAGAAAAGGCTATCAACGCGTATTAAAAATACTACAAATTTAGACGCGTGTAGTTCCGAAACTACTAGTATTTTATTAATAATTGAACCACTTTTGGCCGCGGTGAAGCTTCCCCTTCAAAACGGTTTTTGGTTTTTGACGATCGGACTTTCCGTTTTCGAGATATCGTAATTTATATAAAAGGGTATTTTTCTTAATTTGACTATCTCTGTCTCCGTCTGACGCGTCGCGTCGTACCTCTCTTTCTCGTACGTGACTCACGACCGCGTGACCTAGTTCCGGCGTAGTATTTCCAAGAATTTACTACGCACTGTTTACTATTTTCACGCGCGCGAGTTCATTCATCTCAATGAAACGTAAACAAACACTTCCGGACCCTTATACATGGTGTTCGGCTACCCCTGGGAAAAATTTTAATCGGGGATTCTAGAGGCAAAAATAAGACGAAAATCAAGAATACCAATTTGTTAATGGAGGCTTCGTTAAAAAGTTATTAACAATTAAATTCAAAAATTTCAAATCATTCTGGAAAAATTATTTTCGGTTGTGGGGGGCAATTACAATCATTTTTGGTGAATACACATACCTCCGAAATCCTATCCACTTTCGAGAAAAAAAATCGAATAGGTGCTGAAATTTTTCGACGAAAAAAACATTTTTCAAATCGTACTAAAAAAATTATTTTCGGTTGCGGGGTTCAATTACAATCATTTTTTGTGAATGGACCTACCCCCGAAATCTTGCGCATTTTTGAGAAAAAAATTCAGTACGGGCGGAACTTTAAACGTTAATAACTTTTTAACGAAGCCTTCATCAACAAATTGGTATTCTTGATTTTCGTCTTATTTTGGCCTTTAGAATCTCTCATTCAAATTTTTCCCAGGGTTGACTGAACTATCATATCTCCGGAACTAATTGAGCTATCAACTTGTTCGAACGCTCGTTTTAAAGAGCATTTCATCCTCTATCTAATGATCATATCATCTACTATAATTTATGCTGTCTTCCATGTTTATTTTGATATTTACTTTGACATTATACATACAAAGAAGTTTTAGCAATTCCTATTGGTCATGCGACTGATGTACGATAAAACTGGATTATAAATTGTCTATTTAATTGAAAACGAATGTAAATTTGTATAGAGGATGTTTACGTAGTTACTAGCCAGTATTTTTTCGTAAATAATTATTTCCTCTGGAACTAATTACCGGTATCGATTTGAAACAGAATTCATTTTCAAGGGTATGACGTTAATGTATTACGTATGCACGTTTAGAGTAAAATTTTTGAATATTTTTGTGCATATTTTTAAAATGCATGTCATGAAAGAGAAAAAGAAAGATTGGTCATTTTGGTAGGAATGGGTATACATGAAATGTTTAGGTAGCTTTTGTGTTAATATGAGTACAACTGCTGCCGAGAGTATGACGAAAACAAAATATCGAATATTTTTGAAACAACATTTTAAAAAGAGTTTGTGATATTTTGCCGAAGCCGCGATGCAGTTTTTTTCTACCGTGATGGTTGCAGCCTCCGGAATAGAAATATTTTATTTTAGATGTGTGTCAAATTTCATGAAAATTGTTTCACCGTTTAGAAAAGTGGACAGCGAAAAAATAAATTGAGACGATATTTTTTATTTTGTTCGATACTTTTTAGTCTTTCTCGAGTTTTGCTGTTAGGGTTCTGGTAGAATGGAGACTATACTTACGGCTGGAAGTGCGAAAAAGGATATGGCGAATACGCTGAAACACGAAGCGACTATTTTTCCCATCCACGTTTGTGGAACAGTGTCACCGTAGCCGATTGTGGTAACGGTAATCTAGAAAACAAGAAAACCAATTTTATTATTATTTCTCTTTTACGATAATAGCTTACCAAATCTCCACCATTTAAAACTTTACACGTATTATGAACAATCAAACGTTGATGATTTCGGTTTCACAAAAGCGAAACAAATTTAATTTTGTAAAAGAAAATTATTGAAAACCCATATTCGGATATTTACTTTACAATATTTTGGTAGTCGCGTTATATGGAGTTTTATGATTGAATAGACCGAGTAATTTATAAAAGAGATACAGAACGAAATTCAAATGAAATTTTCTGAATAATTTTTCAAAACCGCTGCAGTGGTTTTTAGGTTAATTAGAAATGATCGGTCAAACGTTTCAATTTCGCGTACTGCGTGTTATTTAACCTGTGACACGATTTTTGAATTGCTATTTGTGGAATAACGTAACGAAAACAACGAATTGTGAAAATATTTTCAGTTTATGTGAATATGAATGAAAAGATTTTTATAGATTTCCAGAAACGGTTCAACATTTATTTCAGCCAAGTTAAGGTAGAAAAATCAACCGGCCTTTGTCAACTTTATATCACGATATAAAATATTCGACGTTATACGATATTTTCATCGCAGCCCCACTCAGCGTGTTCAAAATTTAAAAACAACACTGTTAGAAATTTCGATTGAAAATATTTCGGTTGAGCAATTTTCATCCGGTAAGAGTCAAGAGAGACGGTTAAAATCAAATAACAATCGTGCGCAGTCAATCAACAGAGCGACATTAATCAAACCGCATTTAAATCCATATTTATTTAAGCTGCCTTTCATCGATCTGGCGTTCGTCGTTCCTGGAACTCTAAATACAGGCATATTTTCCGAATGATTAGCACCCACCACTTAATAAACATTTGCAACTGGCAGCCTGCATACAATTAAGCCCGTACACTACGCTTAACGAAACCCATTCCGAGGTAACGAGCGAAATCGGTGGACTGAATTAATTATTCGCGCTAATAGAAACCGAACGAGCAGAACGCTTATTAAACCGAACAACGAACACGAAAATAGATTTTGTCTATTTAATCCTATCTTCAACATTTTTTCACGCTTAGGGAAAGAACGACGTCCACATTGATTTCTCAGGAATTGCGTTCTGCAAATATATTTACATGGCTACAGAATCACTGCTACAAAATCAACTCTACTATGTCTACAAGTACTCTAAGCTATTCTATAGCTTCATTGGTTTCTAACAAAATTATTTATAACATTTTATATGGGCCATATACAGTAATGATTCTTAAAATGATCGTGATTCGTAATTTGAACATTTCTATCCCTTGGAGTGAATGGAGAACGAAAGACAACATTTCAAACACGATATCGAATTTAGCCAACACAGGAGCGTTCATTTTAAGAACTATTACTGTAGCATAATATCCTACTAAATTTTTAATCTCGATTGTATAAGCTTCTAAGTAATCTTATTTAGAGTACTACGAATTTCGGATTCGCGTGGAGTGGAAAACGCGCCTATTAGCGGAAAATCTTCGACGATGGATAAAAATGCTTTTATCGTGCAGCATGGTGGATGCATCGTTTCACGGATAATTACTGCACTCGTCGTTCGCGCGGCTGGATGAAACCGCCGATGAATGAAAGATGCATACGCATGAGCGATTCGTCGATGAACGAAAGGAAAACTGATTCGAGGGCATTTTCAACCTACTCTTCGCGAACAAAATATATCTTTCTACCAATAAAAAGAAAAGAAAGCCAATCGCAAACGATGTCAATCCGTATGCTTTACAACAAATTATTGTACTCTGAAAATAGAACGGAGACGAGTATTTAACACTAGATTTACGGGCATTGATCACACGTATATTTATTGATACCTTTCATGTTGACAATTACCTTAAAATACGATTTTTCTTTTGAATAGACTATGTATTCATGCCATTGCATCAAACTAATTCAACGTAAGTTGTTAATAAATAATATTTACGCGTTCTGCAAATTTTAAATATGGAATCTGACATCCGTCAAATTGACGGCTTCCGTAAATCTGGTGTTAAATATAAAAATGATACTGTCTGTATGAAACTATTTCTCTGTTTCTCAGAGTTTTAGAATTGCTTAAAAAACCCTAGTGCGGTTGCATAAAATTAATAACAACGTTTCGCGAAGAAAATATATCTTTCTATGAATAAAAAGGAAAGAAAGTCAATCACAAGCGATTTTAATCCGTATTCTTTGCAACAAATTATTGTACTCTGAAAATAAAACGGAGACGAATATTTAAATATAAAAATGATACTGTCTGTATGAAACTATTTCTCAGTTTCTCAGAGTTTTAGAATTGTTTAAAAACCTCTAATGCGGTTGCATAAAATTAATAACAACGCTTCGCGAAGAAAATATATCTTTCTACATATAAAAAGGAAAGAAAATCAATTACAAATGATTTTAATTACAATTCGTATGGTTTACAACAAATTATTGTACTCTGAAAATAAAACGAAGACGAATATTTAAATATAAAAATGATACTGTCTGTATGAAACTATTTCTCTGTTTCTCAGAGTTTTAGAATTGCTTAAAAAACCCTGGTGCGGTTGCTTAAAATTAATAACAACGCGTCGCGAAGAAAATATATCTTTCTACATATAAAAAGGAAAGAAAATCAATTACAAATGATTTTAATTACAATTCGTATGGTTTACAACAAATTATTGTACTCTGAAAATAAAACGAAGACGAGTATTTAAATATAAAAATGATAGTCTGTATGAAACTATTTCTCTGTTTCTCAGAGTTTTAGAATTGCTTGAAAAACCCTAGTGCGGTTGCATAAAATTAATAACAACGTTTCGCAAAGAAAATATATTTTACTACGAATAAAAAGGAAAGAAAGTCAATCACAAACGATGTTAATTATCATTCGTATGGTTTACAACAAATTATTGTACTCTGAAAATAAAACGGAGACGAGTATTTAGATATAAAAATGATAGTCTGTATGAAACTGTTTCTCTGTTTCTCAGAGTTTTAGAGTTGTTTTAAAAACCATAATGTGGTTGCATAAAATTAATAGTAACGATGGCAAAAATTGTACAACGAGCACAGAGTAAAAGGAAATAAAATACACGCATTTCAGGATAATTATATTTACCACCCCCCACCACAGTGCGTCGGCGTAGTTGGAAAAGTCTGTTTTTCCATCGGGCCCGACAGCATCTTTTTCGGCAAGGTACACGAAGTAACTGCTGAAAATAAGACCTAGGAACCCGATGTACAACGTCGTGATCAGCTCCTGAAAATCGTCAACAAAAAAATATTTCACACGGTCGTCGCGATTCCGGCGTCGACGAACGATAATATTTTTTCTGTAATTCCCCAGTTTACGCGAACGATCGAAGATTTATCGCTGGGATTGGGAATCAAGCCGCTCGGAAATTGGGTAATCTTCGTGCCGTATAATTTTGCGACGGTAGCGATTCTAAAAAAAATCCCGTAATCGGTCGCAGCATGCTCGAGAGACACGGAAATTTAAAATCTGCGCTACGGTATTTAATTTCTTATATAATCGACTTAATTTATGATCATTAAACGAAATATAAATATTCCTGACAAGTTCTAAACATACGTTGTAAAGCAACAAAAATAAGAAATACACGATTAACGAAATGCTTGATATATTTATAAAAAATGGATCGTTTACGGGAAAAGCAAATCTTGGCAATGCTTTTTTTTTCAATCGTTCTACCGCGAAATCGCAAAAGTACGGCTTATCACCTTCATCCACCCATTCGATTAGCTTTCAAGCCCCGATAAGTCTAGATCCGCCAAATGACTCGAAACGTTCGACGTTGTAATAAATATAATCGTTTCTTTTTTTTTGTTTAATTAAAAAATAACAAAGGCAGAGATATCGTTATTATATTTAGTAAATAAAACAGTTTTAATCTTTATTAATGGATATAACTCGAACCCTCGTACGCGAATGATTATTTTCGTCCGCGGCTGTCGCGTTGTTTGCTGAATAAACAAAAGCAGTGGTGGAAATAACTCAATTCCATTAATACGCGAGGGGGAGAAAAAATTTTGTTTACTAATGGGGATACTGTGTTTAACTTTTTCGTATCTAATTAATTATTCCTGACGTACCTGACGGTGAATGAAAACGACGGAACCGAGAAGTCGCCACGTGCCGCCTTGTCGATCGACGTGGAGCATTCGCAATATTTGCAGAAACCGGATGCCCCTTATGGCGGAAGTGGCGAACACCTGACCGTTGCTTCCAACCGACAAAACCACCATAGACGCCACCACCACGATTAAATCTAACGACAGGCGAATTAATCTTTAAAATTATTTTTCGAGCTAAAAAGCGTCGAAGGTAAGCGTAAGATAATCTTACTAATGGCACAGAGAAATAGAAACAAACCTTCTAAAAATGCAATTGTTAATTTTTAACTAAAAATAACACAATCGGGAAATGTTTAATCAACGGTTTTATACGTCTTAGAGACGTTCACAGCACCAGTTCAAGCATTCACTTTGCAAAACTAAAACTACCTAATCAATAAAAGGTAATAGACGACGAAAAGTATCATGCAAACAAGTACATTACGTTCGATACTTTACGATAATTACTTCGAGCGTAAAAGCTTCTCTGAACGATAATTATCTCCGTTATTAAAAAATTTACTCGTTGGAAATTGTTTGGAACGGAATGCCAGAAAATTTTGTTCGAATCGTGTCGATCATTTGTAAGAACAGTTTAAGAAGGAAGTTCTTCGTGATTTAATTTTATTTGAAAGATTGCACCAATTATATTTCGTTCCATGATCGAAATATTTATTTTTACTAAACGAATAAATGTTTTAATTTCACTCGAAATTCTAGATACGAGATCTGCTGATTCGTCGATCGAATTACCATGCGATAGGGGCTCTTTAAACGCCACCTTTTGCACAGTAATCGTTCGATGCGTGGCCGATGACATTTCGCTACGTTACCGCGCCGCGAACTTGAATATTCCATGGAGATCGATCGCGCGTAATCGATCGATAAACACGCGATTCCCGGGTCCAATTAATATCCGGCGCTGTATTACAATTTGATAGATCGTGAAGTTCGTTCGCGAATCACGTCCAGAGTCGTAACGATCTTACCTACCCTTTCGCGCGAATTAATTATCCGCTCCGTGCGAATCGCACGATGGATACGGAGCTGACATCAAACGATCGACGAATTACGAGAACCGGAAGTGTTCGAAATTACGAGACAAGCTCCTGTAATGCTCGATAAAAATACGATGCAAAAGGGGGTACGAACAAGCGTGGCAAAAATGGCATCGAACGTTTGTTTCAACTATCAGCTACCAGATTAGATTAGATTAGAGTTTAAGCTCTATTTATTTTATACTGTTGGAACAAAAATTAACCCGAACCTTTATTTGAAACGCCAACTAGCTACTAATGTAACAGTTTAGAGTTTAAGCTCTATTTATTTTGTTCTATTCGAATAAAATGAAATCATAGAAACGATATTTTACCGAGAAAAATCAGAGAATCGTGAAACTCAAAGGAAGATTTCTAGTTGCGAAAATAAGCGAAAATTACAAAATAAAATCGTTTCGTACGAGATAGAGGTATTCGATCTACTGTCTCAAATTTCCAAAGCATTCGAAGCTGCAAGAATTACTTAATAAAATTTCACTTTCGCTTATACCGTCATCGTCCTGAATCTAAAAACACAACAAACTTAATTCGAGGTTAGATTTCGGGAAACAATTGAACCATATATACTGTGTTCGATTTCGTGTCACCGTCATACTTACGTAAGAGGGGCATTAAATAAAAATTGAATAGTTAGAAGGATCGAGAATCTATAATGCTGACCAACCGGTCGTTCTGTGCTGATAATACGTTTATCAGATGTTCCTAGAAAACGTTCAATCGCGTCGATCAACATGTCGAGGTTCAACAGGTATCGACATACGCGATAATCGATTGGCAACCAGGCTTCTAAACAGTTTTGACGTGGAAATTTCGACCAGCGGTCGATCCGCCTTTCGACGCAAAGAGACTACATTCCCAATCCAATTTTGGGCCACGACAACCGGACAATGCGCATATTGGGTTAGTTCGAGCATTACCTGATTGAACTGGTCTCGGCGAGCATTAAGGGAACGCACTCACCTATGATACAAATCGGTTTTCGTATGAATCGCAGCCTGCCGCAGCAACCCATATACTTCGATCTGCAGCCTGCGCTCCATAGCCTCACCATGTATTCCACGCCGAAGAATACCACCAAACATATTTCCTGCGAACGAAAAAATATTAAATGTACCGTAGATCTATGCGTATATACAGGGTGTTCGGCCACCTCTAGCAAAAATTTTAATGAGCGATAGTAGAGGCCAAAATAAGACGAAAATCAAGAATACTAATTTGTTGATGGAAGCTTTGTTAAAAAGTTATTAACAATTAAATTCAAAAATTTCAAATCGTTCTGGAAAAATTATTTTCGGTTGCGGGGGTCAACTACAATCATTTTTGGTGAGTACACATACCTCCGAAATCCTATCTACTTTCGAGAAAAAAAATCGAGTAGGTGCTGAAATTTTTCGGCGAAAAAAAATTTTTCAAATCGTTCTAAAAAAATTATTTTCGGTTGCGGGGATCAATTAGAATCATTTTTTATCATTACACATACCTCCGAAATCGTACGCACTTTCGAGAAAAAAATTCCTTACTGAAAATCCAATTAGGTGTCTAAATTTTTCAACGGAGAAAAAAAATTGCAAATCGTTGTGGAAAAATTATTTTCGGTTGCGGGGGTCAATTACAATCAGTTTTTGTCATTAGACATACCCACGAAATCCTGCCCACTTTCGAGAAAAAAAATAGAGAAGGTGTGAAATTATTCGAGAAAATTAAAAAATTGCAAATCGTTGTGGAAAAATTATTTTCGGTTGTAGGGTTCAATTACAGTCATTTTTGGTGAATAGACATACCCCCGAAATCTTGCGCATTTTCGAGAAAAAAATTCAGTAAGAGCGGCACTTTAAACGTTAATAACTTTTTAACGAAGCTTCCACCAACAAATTAGTATTCTTGATTTTTGTCTTATTTTGGCCTCTACTATCGCTGATTAAAATTTTTGCTAGAGGTGGCCGAACACCCTGTATACGTTACACCCGTTCATCCGTTTTTAGATATTAAATAATTCCCTCCCTCCTTCCAACTTTTCCTTTTCATAAAAAAGTTCGTACGGACCTCTTCGACTGAAATTAACTTTCGAAACTACGACCGTGCACCGAACCAGAGAAAAAGAGCAGTTCCGGGAAGAAATTGCGAATCGTACCGGGTTAAACGCTTCCAGTAAGCCTTTTCCAACGCTTTTTTCCGAGAGTTTTTACTTGCGAATTAAAAAATGTTGAAACGTTCGCCTATATCGTAAAGACAACTGAAATAATTGAAACTATTTAAGTAAAAAACATTTATAAAGAACATATTCGAGACTCGAGAATATATATGTTAATGTTATTTCTCACAATAATAATTTTTCTTTCGTTACACAAAATCTTACACGACACAATGAACTATCGATTACGTTAACGTCGAAGTTAAACTCGACGATAATGCGCGGATAGTTCCAGTTCCACGCATTTTTTATTCAGACAATCTTCCTGGAAAACGCCACGGAAAATCGTTACCGAATCGAACGCGCTTTCAACGAAAGTTCCGATTCGTTCTTTTTTTTTTCGTCGACTTTACACGTTGCGAACCTCGCTTTTCTGGTTCACGGTGCCGCGAAATTCGTTTTTTCACTAGGAATGTCAACGGTCTGTTCGATTTATAGATAAAAGTTTTTTCCCCAACGATTTTTTATCCGCGCGTTAAACAACCTGTCGCGCGATAATTTCGTTATCGAATGTTCTTGACGGAAGCAATTTACTTTGGACTCGTTCGTTTTGTTTACAAAGCTAGAAAACAAAGGACGTTTAAGAAGAAAATTGTGACATTATGAAAATTATGAAGCAATTTACTTTAGACTATTCTCGTTCCCATATTGTAACTGTAAAAATTTACGAAAGTTTAACAAATTGGACTCGTTCGTTTTGTTTACAAAGTTAGAAAACAAAGAACGTTTAAGAAGAAAATTGTGACATTATGAAAATTATGAAGCAATCTACTTTAGACTATTCTCGTTCCCATATCGTGACTGCAAAAATTTACGAAACTTCCCATAACGAATTGGACTCGTTGGTTTTGTTTACCAAGTTAGAAAACGAAGAACGTTTAAGAAGAAAATTGTGAAATTCTGTGAGGGTTGGAGAACAATTCTAGTTAGAAATGTAGACTGATGTGCGCGTTGAAACGCGACGCTTCGATGTCACGAATAAAATGAATCAATACGCGAAACGTGGAAAGGAGGAAAAATGCGAAAGTAATTGCCTCAGCGAGCCGATAATCGTAATAGTGGAAAAGGCATTTCCGTGATGACGTTCTATGCTAGTGCAGTCATTAATTCCCCCGTTCTTAAAATAAATGCAGCGAACGCTACTGGTATATAGAGATGCTATATCGATTGTACGACCTTTATTGTAACGCTACGACGCCCTGGAAAAATGGGAACATCAATGACAGCATTGCAATGCTCAACACCGTGATAATTTCACGGTTTTAAGCTTCTTTCGCTAAAGTCAATGTCCGTATTCTTTCTTCCAATCATTTTATATTTTTAACTTGAAAAGAAAGATCAGTTCCTTTGGATTAAAAATTGATCGCGAGATCCTGTTCACTACTTTTATCAAAGTTGGCAATGCGATATCTAAAAGCACGAGTAATATAAAAATAGTTTAATAAGCAAACTCTGCTCAGAGAATCATAACGTATCGTTCAAAAAAATATGGAAACTGGTTATTGAAAAATTTCAATCAAACAACTGGTTATTTCGAGTCAACTTTCGCGAGCTATAAATACGCAAATCGCCCCACTTCATACTGGAAAAATGGGAACATCAATGACAGCATTGCAATGCTCACCACCGTGATAATTTCACGGTTTTAAGCTTCTTTCGCTAAAGTCAATGTCCGTATTCTTTCTTCCGATCATTTTCTATTTTCAGCTTATAAAGAAAGATCAGGTTCTTTGAATTAAAAATTGATCGCGAGACGCTGTTGACTACTAAATACAGAGTGTTCGGCAATCCCTGGCAAAAATTATAATGAGAAATTCTAGAGGCTGAAATAGGACGAAAATCAAGTATACCAATTTGTTTATTGAGGCTTCGTTAAAAAGTTATTAATGTTTAAAATTCCGCCCGTACTGAATTTTTTTCTCGAAAATGCGCAAGATTTCGGGGGTGTGTCTATCCACCGAAAATGATTGTAATTGACCCCCACAACCAAAAATAATTTTTCTAGAACGATTTGAAATTGTTTTTTTCGCCGAAAACCTCTACTTATCGATTTTTCTTAAAAATTCGTTTCTCATTTTTAATAAATTTGTTTGACACCCTACAGAAAAGTTGTCTAATCCTTTTTTGTAGGTGCTCATGAGCTCTACTTCAGAAAAAAATTTCAATGAAATACCTTCACTGTTATAGGAGTTATGGCCGTTTGAAAATTGAACCATTTTTATGGGGTTTTTCTCATTTTGCGGGGTCAAGGAAGAACTTTTCGAATATTTTTGCGATTTCTACATATACTTCACCTAGATACGCGTTGTTTGCATTTCGAAACTTTAAAATTGCCCAAACCGTTCAGGAGTTATGACATTTTAAAGATATGCATGCCATTTCGAGGAAATATTTCTGGCCTGAAATTATATTTTCGGCAAGGAATTTTTTTCTCGAAAATGCGTAGGATTTCGAGGGTATGTCTATCCACCAAAAATGATTGTAATTGACTCCCACAACCAAAAATAATTTTTCCAGAAAGATCTGAAATTTTTTTTCCCTGAAAAATTGAGACACTTACGAATTTTTTCCCCGAAAGTGCGTAGGATTTCGGGGATATGTATAATGACCAAAAATGATTTTAATTGACCCCCGCATTCAAAAATAATTTTTCCGGAATGATTTGAAATTTTTTAATTTAATTTTGTTAATAACTTTTTAACGAAGCCTCAGTCAAGAAATTGATATTCTTGATCTTCGTCTTATTTTGGCCTCTAGAATCTTCCATTAAAATTTTTCACAAGGTTGGTCGAACTCCCTGTAGATCAAAGTTGGCAATGTGATATGTAAAAGCACGAGCAATATGAAAATAGTTTAATAAGCAAACTCTGCTCAGAGAATCGTAATCTGTCGTTCGAAAAATTATGGAAACTGGACCTCTGGTTACTGAAAAATTTCAGTCAAACGACTGGTTATTTCGAGTCCACTTTCGCGAGCTATAAATACGCGAATCGCCCCATTTCATCCAGCATTTTTCCTCCAACGTATTTTCCAATAATCTTTATTGCGACGAGGGGGATCACTGGCCGACAGATATTAAACAGAAACGTTCCCCGAAAAATAAAAAAAACGTCCCCGCTCGACAAAGGATTGTCTAACGGTTGCTATTTTTAGGACGTCACGTGATAGAAAGCCGGAAGTCAGGGGGCGGCGTGTCATTAGAGCGAAGACGCCAAGTTGTCAAACCCCGTAATACGCGCGTAAAAAGCTTTTCATGGTGTGTACACGAGGTACATAAGCAAGATCTACGGTTCGCCTAACAATGGATGGAGACAGGCATAAATGGAAGATCCCTCGAGGAACGACTGACACGTGGATACGGTCGACGGTCCCTTCGCGACACCCCAAACCCTCCAACCTTTTTTATTCCCTGACATTTGCATAATAGCTCGGTGGTTTCGTGTCCCAATGTATCTCGAAACCATAACGGAATTGCAATTGTACCGGAAACTTTCGTGCGCAAATTTCCGTACGATCTCGTTCGATTGCGGTTAAATTGTTGTCGAAGGTTAAACACGTCGCGTTTACGTATATCGTTAGAGATCCACCATTATAATTTGAACTTCAGCTTCGAACGATTCAGAATCAGTTAATAACCATACAACACAAATTTTTATCTGTAATATCTACTTTCTTAAAAGAAACTTATTTCTCTTACGAATTTTTCCCCCATTTATTTTAACCAAATGTTGTTTTTATTACACCGTGTTACTTTGCTTTGTTCTCTTTTAAGTATTAACTAGTAATAACCAATTACAAAATCGATAGATAAGCATAAGCAGTGTTATTGTATTATATTATATTTTTGCCCTTGACCGTAACAAATGAATTTGGAATTTTTACTATTTCCCACGCTTGCGATTTCACGAACATTTAATCATTTTTTTTATCGATTACATCGATTTATTTTTAATTATTGCATTTGTTGATCGATTGCCTCTGAGGCCAGACTATACGTTAGGTACCACTTGCTCGATCAAACTATGCGCTTCATTATTTTATCCCCGCGCACGAGCCTGAATTATTTATCAGTTCGGAGAAACAAGTAGAATGATCGTTTCGCGCGTGTTTTATCCTGCCACGCATCTGGTAAAAATTTATCATCGTTGGCGCGGGAAATAAGAGAAACATTTTTTATTGTAAAATCAGATATGTCCTACGGTCTGTGGAAACAGTATACGTTTCGTACTTCGAAACAAAGGCATTGATTAACGCGCAAATGCAACGAGGGGGCGTAAATACGAATAAACAAGTGTACACGAATGGAACATTGAAAATAAAATCGCGGCAAACCGATTGAAAATTATATCTAAATTTGGAACGAAACAACTGAAAATTAAATATGAAATAATTATGTAGAAAATACCTGTGCCCGCACCGATCGGGCACGTTAATCAGAATGTATTTGCGGACCAAAGATCGACGCAACGACTGGATTATCTGGCGTTTGAAAATTTAATAATTGCCTTTAGCCCGTTCGTTCCGCTTCGAAAACGTACAAACGACCTTTCGTTTCCGATTTCGTTAAATTCCGTTCTCGCTGAATTTCCACGGCCGCTTTCGAACACTTTATTCGATTAGGTATTCCTTTAAAAATCATACGAACGAAAGCTTTCTGTTTGCACAATTACCCCGTTCGAGGATTCGATTCGAGCAAACGTGCGAGAAACAGCGTTTCTTAAGTATCCGGTTCCGTTCGAGGGACCATTCGATGGGAATAAAAGGAAATAATTTGCAAACTTTATGCTCGAAATTTCGCTTCTCGCGAATCAGTAAACTACGCTGGTGTTTAATCTTGTTTATTTTAATCGAATCACCACCGAGCAACAACCAAAACCCTTTTATCTAATTCCATAATGTTACATCTTCAGCTGCGGATCGCTGAAGCACGTTGATTGATAACCTTTGACCCTTTGTTTGCGTTACTTGACGCGTAAAACTCAAAGTAATCCAGTGCACGCGGAAGTTTATTAGAGGTTTACCCGCCAGGGGCGACTGACTGTCTTTGAGGCTGCTCTTTCTCGCTCTTTAAATAAAATGTTCATTTTCGTGCAAAGGAAATTAAAAATTTAGCGTTACGATTGCCAAAATCCGCAGAAGTTTCGTATTTTGAAACGAAACGACGATAAAAAAAAAAGGTTAATGCGAAGAAAGGGAACTTACCATCCAGAACAGGGTCTCGTTCGCGAAGTTACTGTACTGGTCTATGGTTGACAGAACACTAAATATGAGGCACACCACTACCACCATGAACCTGAAAAAAAAATTTCGCCATCAGTAGATATTCTAATGGATATAATCGAGTCCTTAATACAGTATTCATTAAATGCAGCCAGCGTAACCGTAGTATTCAGATTTCATGTAAATTGCACAGATTAACGTTAAAAATTTGCAAAAATTTCGATTCAAATATGCGCATATATGCAGTGACTCTTTTATGGCGCTAGATTCAATATTCTACGGTTAACGCGGAAATATACACATACTTTTATACTCTTTACCTATAACCCAAATTATATTTAACTTTTTATTTGTTGGAAAACACTACTAATCTTAACTGTTGTAAAATAGCTTTAAATAGATTGTTTGCCTCAAAGCCCAAACTTGATACACATTGATAATAAGTGACTTCACAGACACTTTTGTTTATGGTAATTAATTTCTATTAAATATTGTAATTTCAACTTTCTTGGTCACTGATGGTCCCATGAAGATTCAACATTGTTTCTTCATTTTTGCAAATACTGTACGTACCAAAATTATTCCACTTTATTCGTTGGTCGCCGTACATGCGTACACATTAAAGAAAAAACTCCAAGAAAATTACGTATCTGTAATTATCTTAATATTGTTGACAATTAAGGTATAAAGTAGACAGTATCTGGGACACCAGGAACACTATAGGAATCAAATTCAAGGCCTCGTACAGCAGGGGTTGGCAGTAATATTTTGATTGAAAAGGTAAACGCATCGATTAACGAAGTTGTTTTCCCAAGATGACGACGTCCGTCCTTATTCCAACGTGTCCTTATTTTGCATCGTTTTAATACTTTATTAAGAATTTCACCATACGCGTATCAATGTTATCAAAGTTTATTGTCGTTCATGAACGTCAACAAGGAAGGAACTATAAAATAATATTCGGAATTCCGACTTACAAGGAGCAATTATAAACATTATTTTAACCTTGTTAGCTCGATTGTAATTGACAATGCGAATAATCGATGGGTCCTAAAAATATTCAACGACTTTCGTTCCGGTTCTCGGACGAAACATAATTACGTTCGATTCGAAGCAAATAAGGTCCTTGTCTAGATGATTAACCGGATCCAAATAATTGCTTTTGCAAAGAATGCTTGGAATATTAAAATACCTCATCATTTATAGATTGTTCTATTTAGTATCCAGGTATATATAACCCCTTAATTGATCGAAAAGTATATTCCACGTGTTCCAATATTCGCAATAATTATTCATCCCCTGAATAATTCCAACGAGATTTCGGATAACGCTCGATTTTCTCGCGAATCATCGTCGTTGGGGATTCATGAACGCGTACCTTCGTCGCGATGCTCGTTGTCGGGCAACGCCGGTCGGGTCACGGAAAAACAACTTATTTATAAACGCGTGAATATGCATGCATCGCGTATAGATTTTAACAGTTTTATCGCCGGGACATTTAGACGCTGACGTCGACGTTCGAACTGGGACGTTCGCAACACGTGCTTCCGCGTGTTGCAGTTCATGCTGTCCCTCGACGAAAAGACACGCGTTTATTTTCAGCGAAAGCTTTCCTGCACGCGACTTATGCGTATATTTCGCATAATGGCGCGAAGTAGACTCCCGGGATACGAGAACACGAAATAGTAAAAACGGGTGCAATCGTCGGCGATAAGCAGACATGGCTCGTGACAAGATTTACGACTACGAACGCTGAAAACCATACTGGGACTGACTGCGCAAACGCGCGGGAGGAAAATTTAATATTGAATATAATTTCACGAACGCTGTTCTTGCTTCAAGACAAGCGTAAAATATTTCTCTTACAGCTTTATATATTCAGTGGTTATAAATTGAAATTTTTGATAAGATTTACGACCACAAATGTTTGCAATTCAACACCATATGTGGATGAAGTTATTAACTGGGACTTACTGTCCAATCGCGTGGGAGGAAAATTTAATATTGAATATAATTTCACGAACACTGTTGCTTGTATCAAAACTGAATAAAAGAGTCAAATATTTCCTTTAAGGCTTTGTACGAAATTGTATCATTATATCCAGTGATTCTAAATTTAAATTTTTGATAAGATTTACGACCACAAATGTTTGCAATTGAACACCATAAGTGGATGAAGTCATTAACTGTGACTTACTAAATGAAATATTGAATATAATTTCACGAACACTGTTACTTGTATTTCAAATTTTGTCAGTATCGTAGCCATAACATTTAGGATTCTCCAATCTGACAAGCTCCTTCTGACCACTGCAGTTACTAATTCCATGGATCTGGAGTTTGACAATGATAGTCTACCGAGATACCTACGCGGGTTTGAAAACATCGAAACGAGTAAAAGTTTAGGCGAATGGGATGGAAACGTATGAAGTTAATCTTCAGTTTTCGTAACTCGATAACGTATCTGTTAACGCATCGCTGCAATTTGTTTCGAATGATCTGAATAGAAGTAAGATGGAACGCGCGATAAGGCAGAGAAGTTGCTTTCATAGCCAAATTAGTTTCGAGAAAGGTACGTTGCGCGATATGATTGTGTGTAACGTGGCCACCTCGTTCTTCTGACTGTAATCCATTAGATTTCATCGCCTCGGGTTGCTTAAAAAGCCACATTTGCTAGACGCATAAACCACGGGGGAACAGGTGCATAGTAGTTCGTGTTCGGGAGACGTTCGTAAATCTGAGAAACTCAATTTCTTAGCAAAATTCAATACCCTGGTGTGCTCTAGCGTGTAATGAACTAGGTCATGATGATTTTGGAAACATCCTAGCGTGTACCGTTCGTGGTACACGTAATAATAATCTCGATAGAATCTAATCCGTAATTCCTTATCAAAATAAAGGAATGATAAATGAATTTACTGAAAATGAAATTTATGCAAACGAATTTAAATTGTAATACTCTTGGATCGAGATCTATAGAAAATGAAAAATTGTTTTCAAACGCATTCCGTGACAGAATTATTAAAATGCTGTTCAGTATTCATAGAGTGTTGTCTATGCAATTATATATTTAATACAATTATGCAAAGAGATGGTTCTACGTGCAGAGATAAGTCGAAAATGTAGAATAAGATTTGCCAGTATAATGCTTCGTTTTCGAGATAATCGATGTGGATTCATCGGGACCGCTTGCAAGTAGTATTGTAGTACGACTGGGACGACGGCGCAAGTAGAACTAGCAATTAATGGCCAGACGTGCCACTGAAATCGCATTCAACGGCACGTGTACACGGAAACTTTTTTAATTCGAACTCAAACACTGATCGTAAATCAAATTCGAGATAAAAAGATATTAATTCTCACCGGTAGGTATTGAATAATTATTAAAATATTATATAAAAGCGACACCACGAGGCTCACGGTAATTTTATTCCATCTAGTTTATAGTACTTTACAAAGAAATACGATCAACGATCATTTGCTTGATTTTTCTAATCTAGATCGATCGTTCAATGGGTTCAGAAGTAAAAATAATTAATAAGAATATTTAGTTTACTTTCGACAATATAATCTGCCTTTAAATATCATTTTTATTTTAATCTTTAACAACTACTGCTACAACTTCGAGTTCTTTCTTATTACCTTGACACGTCCGGGGCTACGGAACAGTTATTTCCGGTAGACAGGGAGGAAGAACTTCGTAATCATGTAATTAATCGTGTCCCAAAGTTGGGCAAACGTATAGTCCGTCGTGTGTACTTTAAGATGAATCCTGGCTACAGGGTACGCGTTCTGCTTCAAATTATGGTAATTAACGCAACGACGTGTCGCCTTTCGGTTTACGATATACCTATTTGGACAACACATTCACCGGGATTGCAAATACGTAACTCGTGTCACGGATATTCGTCCGGACAGGTCCGATTTTCAGTGTAAAATCCATTTTATAAAGGACAATGTTGATGGTATCATTACAATATTAATATTTCGATGTAATAGATATGTCAATTTCATCAAATTTAAAATTCTTTCTATTTGTTCTATGCAAATTCTCGATAGAGAGACACTAAAAATAACATGTCGCCTTTCAGTTTACGATCTGTCTATTTGGACAACGCAAAAATCACTGGGACTGCAAATATGTATACGTAACTCGTGTCACGGATATTCGTCCGGACAGGTTCGGTTTCCAGTATAAAATCGATTTTATAAAGGACAATGTTGATGGTATTATTACAATATTAATATTTCGATGTAATAGAAATGTCAATTTCATCAAATTTAAAATTCTTTCTATTTGTTCTATGCAAATTCTCGATAGGGAGACACTAAAAATAACATTTCGAGCACCGATTAACCTATCAACCCACGAATAATCTTCAATATAATTATCATCGCATTTGGGACGTAATTTATCAGATAAACCTGTACCCGTATGTATCGTTGCAATGCAGATTGCGCATACGAATAGACGAATTTACACAGATTTCAAGTGAACAATGAAGAACGTAATTACAATGTGCTGATCAATTATTCGCTAAATTACGATGCATTTAAGACACGAATGCATCGTTGGATCGATCCACTACGACTAAAACTGCTGTTTCGCGTGTCTCGAGATTTTCGCTGCGAATATTCCGAGTCGCGGTCGAATTAAATAACAACCTGCCAATTAAATATTTACATGCTACTTTTTCGAAACTTTTTTCAAGCTCTATAATTACCCTTCCGTTCGCGAGTTATTTTTTTCTGCAAAAATTCAACGCAATAAATTCAAGTTGATTCAATTCCCTCTCCCTACGAAAATAGTTTCTCCATCTTCGAGTGTTTTAACGTTGTGTACATTTTTTCAAGCCCTACAATTATCCTGTTCTTTCGTTTCTGAGTTACTATTGCTTCGATTCTTCTCTGCAAAAATTCAAGGCGAAAAATTTCGTTGATTCAGTATTTCCTCTAGGAACATAGTTTCTCTATGAGTGTTTCGACGTTTGTTTCGCGCAGTGCTCTATACGTCATAGCAATCGCAGCCTCTAATATGTATATCGCGTCACGGAAGTTTGACGCGCACCACAA